ACAGGCACCCACTATACAGAGTAGCCAGCATGCTAACATCTTCTGATCTTATTTAAGCAGGATTTTAAGGTGGGGTGCTGTGATGGTTTGTCTCACCCAAAGCTTTAGAATTCAGTCTCAGCCTCCTAACTGCTTCCAGCTCCAACTATAAGGTGTTGCCTATTATATATTAAATATAGTCATATACTATTATGTAAATTATTAATTATTTTTGTTAAAATAATGTATCTAATATTACATGTTATATATATTAAATTTCACAATTCAAAACCTAGTAGTTCCAAGTGTTTCCAGATCACAGGAGACTCTTTCAAGTAGGAACAAGAAAGAGCAATACCAGGTATAGAGAAATCATCACACAAAACCAGCCCAGTGGGGCTGTGGACAGCATGGCTCACAGGGCATGTGAGAGGCTTTGATCTCCAGCACCAATACAAGACACCGCATCAGTGAAAGAGAAGAATCAAAGTATAGGCAGTTTTCAAGAGCTTGTGCTGAATCTATCACTTGATCCTTAGGCCTTCTGTTAGGAGCTATCTGGGTAAACTTACTTGGCTCTCTTTTCTTTGAGTAGATGCATAGAAAAATATATGTATTTTTATAGTTCTAAAATATAAACACTTTTCTAAGAATACTATCTCAACTCAATTTCAGTTCAACAAAACACATACTTCTCTAAACAACTGTTAAGGCTTTTGACCTTTGCCATGTACCCCCAAGTTGGGCACCATTTCCATTATTATTACAAGCTATGTTAACAAATAGGGCTCCTACTGGAAGGATGAAATGGTGAACACTCATTAAGACACTAGCATTGAATATTTATAATTCAAGAATATGAAAACAAAGGCTTTTTTGAAATATTTGAACTGGGTTATGTTTGTATGTAAGCCCAACACTTGGAACCTGAGGTAGGAATATAATGAGTTTGAGACCAAACTGTTTCAAAAACCAACGTCTTTGGTTTGAGGTACTAGGTTTTTAGACTAGAACCTTATGTATGCTAGGTAAGTGCTCTCCCACTGAGTGGTATCTCCACCTTAAAAGATGTTTGAAACCTAAAGACTATACATACACATATATACAAGTGCTGTTTGGAATGGTTACATTGCTGATTTAATCAGAACCCTTGCTTAGGAATTTACTTGGAATCTACATGAGAACACATATCCTAACTTTATCCTTTCCCCCCAATACAACTAAATTTTTATGTTTTTACCTTATATATGGAAATATAACCACTTCTTACCCTGAATGAAGCATGACAATAATTTAGAGACTATCAAAAAAGTTAATACCGTCTTTAAGATCAACTCTCTGAAGTGCCAAGCTGAGTCATGTCTTGGGAAAGCTGGGTAATGTTCCTATTTCCTGCTGTGAAATTGCTGTCACACCTTCCCAGTTTCTGGAAGAGGTGGCAGACAACATAGCATGAGAAACAGGTTCCTTGTCTCGAAACCCGGCTACACCCTCCATATGCAGTGACTCAGTAAACCCTTCAGGACTCTTCTCTTCATTAGATTAAAAAAAATGAATTTTAAACATAGAAGCTGGTTAAGATACAATGATTCACATATAAACCCTTCACCTAACTTACACATGACTTTTGTTTTATATTTTCAGATATAGACTATGTTTTCCAGGTTGACTTTGAACTTAGGTTTAAGCAATGAGTTCTGCCTCAGTCCTCTGAACAGCTAAGACTAAAGGCATGTACTACTGAGACTGACTTAGAAGTTACTTTAAACATGTTTCCCATATTAAAATATTAATATTATGTGAGGTCTTAAATAGATTACAGGTAAATCTACAGTGTGTGTATGTGGGGAATACTTGTGGGGAATATTAAAGGGATTTTAAGTGAGGCGTGATGGTATACCCTTGTAATCCTAGTACTTAAAAAACCAAGGAAGACTAAACATAACAAGATTCTCTTCAAAAAGAAAAGTGTCTTCAATATAAAGGTATAAGAAGGATGCCTTCAAACTTAACCTTCTGGCCCATTACACTTAGTCAAACAACATGTGTCCATTTGTACAATAGTGGCAAATATACTATGCAGTATAACCAACTAATTTCTGAGTGGATTTGAAGCTCGCTCCACAAGAGGGAATTCACACCTGGCACTATAAATCCAGTAAGAAGACTGTGGTTTTGGGTGTTTGTACCACTGGGGAAAACTACTGCTGTTGTTTTGCTAAATGAACATGATAGGTCTGTCAAATAAATTCCCTTCTAAGTAACTGCTTATGCCCATTGAATAGTACTATTGTCAACTTCAGCCAGAAAAGCTGCTTTCTGCTGTGAGCAGTGCTAACTCTAAAGATCCAGAACTGGTCAAAGTGATGAGAACAAATGGCTGGTGAAAACCCTGCCGTAAATGGGGCATCTACATCACAACCTCTAAACCTCAGGGAATATCATTTGAGGAAAGGATAGAAAGCACATCAGGGTTAAAAGGAGAGGGATAGCATGGGAATGCTGATTTCTTGGCATGTGAATATTGCATTCTTGAATTTACAACAACTACGATAACCTGCACAAGAATGAGCCTCTAAACATCCTATCATGGAGGCAAATGATGGGATGAGGCCCCACCCCTCCCTGAGGATTCATGGTCAGTTAATGGTTACTTGGGGAGAGACAGACATCTTCTTCAGAGGTGTAGCTGTTGGTAAAATACTCACACTCCTGTAAGCAACTCTAATGGCAATCACTGGGTAATCAAAAGCAAAAACAGAAGAGCATGAAAGCAGAAGGAGGGCTGGGGAGAAGGGTTAGTGGGGGACAGGGGGAGGTGACAGGGGAGTTGCAAATTTGATCAAAATACATTAAACCTATGAACATGTGATAATAAAACCCACTGGTATGCACATGTATAACCAATGTATGCTAATAAAACACTTTGGAAGAAGAAGTTGGGGATTGAAAGCATGCCAGTGGGTACAGAATCACTTCAATGCACACCATAAGCAGGAGCCACACCCACATGCCAGATACTGCCTCTGTGCTCTGTCTCTCATAAGCTCTCCTTACCAGTAACCGGCAATGAAGGTGCAGCTCAAATATCCCCAAACTAAATTTACTGCAATGCCCTTTCTGTGGCATCATCTCCCATGTTTTCTGCAACCAACAGTTTATAAAAGTTCAAGAGAAAAATAAAAATTTTGACTATAGAGAATGGCTTTTTAACAATTTTTATTTGTGAACACATTTGAATATTTTATGTGGGAGGGGGAGTTCACATGCATGGTGCTTATGTGGGGGTCAGAGAACAACCTAAAGGAATCAGCTTCCTCTATTCGCCATGTGGCTCCCGGGGATTGAAGAACCTAGGCCATTAGGCTTGGTGGCAAGTACCTCCACCTACCAAGCCATCTCATTGGCCAGGGAATAATGATTCTAGATAGTGGAGAAAATGTTCTTTCTCATACTATATCTAAAATTTATTTAAAGAAATTCGTAAACAATTTCTCTAGAAGAGTAGCCTTTTTCTCAAAAGTAATTTTTAACTAAAAGTTATATTTGTTTTTTTATTTTGTATTTTATTTTGTGTGTATATATTTATACCATGTGCATGCTGTACTGGCAGAAGTCAGAGGAGGGGGTCAGATCCCCTAAACTGGTATTAACAGACAATTGTGAGCCACCATGCTGGTGCTGGTACCCAAACTAGGGTCCTCTGCAAGAGCAACAAGTGCTTCTACTTGCTCAGGCATCTCTCTAGCCCCGAGAAAGCATTTGCCAAAGACAGTGTTGGCTGCTCTCACCTGGAGGAGTGTCTGTCAGATAGAAGCCACAGTCACAGGAAGCATCAGAGCAGCCAACAGAGAGTGTTGGGGGAACAGACAGCAGTAGCGCGGAGACTGAAAGACGTGTCAAGGTGGTCTACAGGAAGCACTTCGGCTGCTCTGATTTCCACATCAAGTGAAGGTGGCTTAAGTGCTGGTTAAAGTTTCCCTACATGTGCAACACATACTGTGGGATCCTAAGTCTCAAGCTATGTGGAAGCCAAATCGAGGCATAGCATGACATGTTGAACACTGACAGGCACAGCTACAGAACAGAAAAGCTTTAGGCAGAGAAGTATCTGCTAAGAAGCAACATCTAATGCTCATTTTTACAGCATCATCACTAAAATTAGTGGTGCTTGCCTCATATGCCTGATGTCCTATGTGCAATATCCAGCATCACTCCCCACACAAAAAAGGTGGTAAGTAAACAGCAGAATGTGTTTGATCATCCTGTGCTTAGATGACAAAACACAGGAAGAGAGGAGAATAAGAAAAAGGTCTGGCCATGCAAGGCAATGGGAAACTCTTTTCCTTTTAATATTTCCTTTAATACTAAATAAGCAATTTTTAAGTTTTATCTATGTTCAAGATTTGAGGACTACCGGCTATGTTTCTTTAAACATTTCTCAGACTGGAGAGATGGCTCAGAGGTTAAGAGTACTGACTGCTCTTCCAGAGGTTCTGAGTTCAAGTTCCAGCAACCACATGGTCGCTCACAGCCATCTATAATAAGATCTGTTGCCCTCTCCTGGTGTGCAGGCATACAGGGAGGCAGAATGCTGTACACATAATTAATAAATAAATAAATATTTAAAAAAACCAAATATTTATCTTCTGCACAGTGAAGTTTACAGAAAGTAAGGTGTATGCATGCACTTACCGCCCATGATAATAGTACAGTATAACATTAGAACAAGCTTTGGCTGTGTTTGTAATGGTTAAGTGAACAGCTACATATCTTGGGATTCTTTACTTTCTAATGGGGATATAAACTGTTTTAAATGTTTCCAATATATTTATTTGCAACCCTAGTTTTCTACTGTGGACATCTAGAAGTCTGAAAAAGAACATATTGAGTCCATCAGAGTCTACACATGGTTTAGTGGATTCTTAGATGCTGCTTCTTAAATGAGCAATTACTTAACAACAGTATGAAGGACGTCTTTTCAAATAGAAAAGAACAAAAGCATGGGATAAAGCACTCACCGTGAGTTATTATGATGAATATTACACGCTCGGGCCATTAGCACCACAATAATCGGTCTAAAGGCTTTTCCTTTGCCATCAAAGTAGTATTCGGACATGTCCTTCAATTCTTTGGTGGAGATGCACAGCTCCTGAAATACAGTTTCTTCTTGTTAGCATGGCATTACAGTCATGCATATAGAATTTTTGTTTTCTTCAAAACTGCAGTTTTATTTTAGTGTACTCATTTCAAATAGGAAATTCAACACAAAAATTATGTTTGGTTTTGCCTCAAGCAGTGTGGTGTCAGTATTAGGGCAGATATTGCCACCTGCCCCATGATAGCTAGTGACAAGAGGACAAAGGCAGAGGGCAATGAGAAATGTAGGAGTCTAGGAAGCAGACCAGGAGTATCCTGAATGGGGAGTCAGCAGACAAGAGGACAGTTAGGACGGAGCACAGGTCAGTAAGTCTGTTTATACCTAATTTAGCAGAAGATAATTCAAAGGTTCATGGAAGAAATGTAGGGAAGGCATGGTTTGCTTGACTGTGGGAACTTCCTATTGATGTGGGGAGAAAACTTATTATCATTGTCTGAATTATGTTCTTGCTATGAAACTCTGGATGGCCTGGAATCTAAGACCTTCCTGCTTCTGCTTACCAAGTGCTGGATAATAGGGCTGTACCACCATACCTAATGGAGACAAACTGTTTAAAACTGAGTGGGGCAAAGAGACCCACAAGCAGGCCTGCCCTGGCTTTGAGGAGAAAACACATGCAGACGGGACATTGTTATGGTGAGCAAATATACGGTGTGTTATGGGAAAGGGAGGCAGGGAGGGAGGGGGGAGGGAGAGAGAGGGAGGGAGGGACAGGGAGAGAGAGACAGAGAGACAGAGAGAGAGAGAGAGAGAGAGAGAGAGAGAGACAGAGACAGAGACAGAGACAGAGACAGAGACAGAGACAGAGACAGAGACAGGTTCATGTCCTGTGGACTGAGGGCCGAGGTAGGTGGTTTGATTGTCACTCAGTGACATGGTAATGTCTGGACCCGAGCTGCTGCCAAGGCCCATGCCTAGGTTTATGGCCCTGGTTGATGCTGATATCTGAGGTCTTTGATACCACCAAAGGCTGAGTGGATAGGGCTGTACAGAGTTGGCCCCACCTCTCACTAGCTGCAACACTAGGGAGAACTGGTCCTGACCCTGTCCAGCTGAAGCACTCAGGAGACAGGATCCTACACCTCACCTGGGTAGGACAAATAGAGCTGACAGACAGGGTCACTGCATGGCAAGCCGGCCCTGAGGTAGTCTGCCATATGGTAGTATGGACAAGAGAAAGATGTCCTCCTTCCCTCACCCCTTGACACCTGGAGCAGGTGGGGGAACCTGACCCAGCCTCTCACCAACTGCAGCACTTGGGAGGATGGGCCCTGCGCCTCACCTGGGCCAGTAGACAAGGGCACGGGTGAGTAAGCCCTGAGGGTGTGAGAGGGACATACTTAGTACTACCTCCTTCATCTTCAGTGTGATTGTGGGGGTGAGGGAAAGATGCCCCCTTCCTCTACAGTCTTCAACTGGCAAAGGAGCTGACCCCTTTACCAGGTGCAATACTCAGGAAAGCAGGACCTACTGATAAGGGCACAGGTGAGCTGGCCTCGAGAACGTGAAAGTAGGAGACCTGGCACCATCTCTCATCTGCCATATGGTGGATTGGCAGGAAAGAGATGCTCACCCCCATCAATGCTTGAGGTAGATGGGAGAACTGGCCCGGACCCTAACTAGTTGCAAACCTCAGGAGAACAGGCCCTGCACCTGTCAGGGAAAGTACAATAGAGCCATCCTGTTGAAAGTGTGGGTGAGCCAACCCTGAGGTTGTGAGCATGGGAGAGCTGTTCCTACTACTCTTTTGTCATGTGGTGGCATGGGTAGGGTAGAGTCCCCCCACTCATCAAATGCCTGAGGCATGTGTCTTTAATGAGCACTGAGCATGCACATGCATGCCATAATAAATGTGCAGGCTAGAGGACAACCTGTAGAAGTTGGTTTTCTCCTTCCACCAAATAGGTCCTGGGGGAATCCAAGTCAGGTGACCTAAAACCCACTGAATGATCTCCCTGGTCCTCTAAATGACATTTTTAACAGTAGGAAAATAACCCTAAAATTCATACAGAAGCACGAAAGATCCCAGAGAGTCAAAGTAATCCTGAGTCAAGAACAATGATCTCAAATTATACTACAAAGCCATCATAACAAATCACAGTACCTAGCACAAAACCAGACACTTAGATAAGTGGAACAGAAGGCAGAGTCCGATTTTTAACAAAAATGCCCAAAACGCATATTGGAATATAAAATTCAAAAAAAGAACCCTTAAACAAATAGTGCTGGGATAATGGACATACACATGTAGAAGGATAAAACTAGATTCCTAAGATTTACCCCACACAAAAAGCCAACCAGTGGGTCAAATACCATAATGTAAGACCTGAAGCTACAAAATTGAAAATATACAGGAAATACTTCAGGATGCCGACATAGTTAAGGACTCTCAATAGGACTCCAATTACTTGAAAAGTAATATCAAGAACTGACATATGGGACTGAATCAAATTAAAAAGCTGTGCACCATAGGAAACAAATGAGTGAAAAGACAGCCTATAGAACGGGAGAAAAGTTCACTCGCTATATATGTAACAGAGGGTTAATATTCAGCACAAGGAACTCATACTATCAAATACCCAAATAACCCAAATGAATACACAGACTACAAATGGCCAAAAATATATGAAAAAGTAGTCAACATCCTTAGTCCTCATGGAAATGCAAACTAAAACTGCTTTGAGGCTCCACCTCACCCTAGTCAGAAGAATAGCTAACAAATAACAAATGTTTGTGAGGATGTGTGTGTGTGTGTGTGTGTGTGTGTGTGTGTGTGTGTGTGTAATCCACATACTGTTGCTAGGAATGTAAAGTGGTCTAACTACTATGGAAAGAAGTATGAAAGTACCTCCCCCCAAACCAAACAAACAACTACAAGTGGAACTTCCATGTGATCGAGTCACAGCACTCCTGGATATATACTTGAAGAACTCTAAGTCAACATACCACATGCTTTATGTCCATGTTACTGCAGCATCATTCACAACAGCCAAGTTATGGAAACAGGTTATGTGTCCATCAGGTTATGTGAATGAATCAAGAAAAGGGGGTATACATATATGATGGAGTTTTATTCAGCTTTAAAGAATGAAATTATGTCATCTGGTAGAAAATAGATAAACTATGACCACTTTATGGAGTGAAATAAACCAGACTCACAAAGACAAAGATCATGTTTTTTCTCACTTGTGGATCATTAGTTTTAAAAAATAAACACATGAAACTACTTAGACCAGCAGGATGAAGGAAGACAAAGAAGAAAGGAATAAAATGAATATGGATAGAATAAATGATGTATTTGGAAAAAGAATACATAAAATTATGGGGGAGACTGAGCAGAACTAAGTAGAAAGGGGAAGACAAGAAAAGATATGAGCAATGAAGATTATACACATGTATGAAAATATAGTAATGCCAATTCTTTTTTATAAACAATATTCAATAAAACACAAAGATGAAAAAAGTTTTTTATGATGATGCATGCTTATAACACTAGAATTCTAGCTCTTGGGAGGCTGAAGAAGGATGGCTATGAGCTCAAGGACAAGCTGGGCTGTATAGCAAGACCTTGCCTCAAAACAAAAACAAAAACTAAATATTGACTGATTCAGTGGGTAATACACTGTTAATTTATCAGAAGTCCAGAAAAAGGAAGAGATTAGTGTGGGGCATAAAATGTGAATAGTGCATGGAGGTCAGCTTCAAGAAACATTGGCTAAGTTTGATTTGTGAAGAACAGAGCGGTTCTCCATGGTTGTGTATTTGTCATATTTGCCACTCAAGGAATGAATCAGAGCCATGCGAAACTAAAGAGTGTAATGACTAATTTGCTAGTGCTGAGATAAAGGCACAGGTCACAAAGATTAACATGACAACCCTTGATCACAAGGAGCACAGAGTTTAGACAGGGACAAGATCTACAATAACTATAGTTAATACAATAAAGAATAATGTGTAATATCACTTGAGGTAAAGAAAGCTACTCTGGGAGCACAAGAAAAGGCTGGCTCAGGATAAGGGGGGATTAAAAGTGAGACAGAATGGAGGAGATAGAGTAGCCTGGAGCCTGAAAGTGTCTGAAAGCAAGAGGTAGACTAGAAAGTCATGGAAGAAAAGGACAAGAAGGATCCAAGGGTTCTTCCTAGGATCCTAGGTGATCCTTCAATAATTGAGGTACCAGGAAAAAAAAAATCAAACTACATATGGGGTGAGAGCATTCCAGACATAAGTTAGACACAGTCATAGATACTTCATGGAGCAGTCTGGTAAGTAGTTAGCTATGTGGGTTTAGAAGAGACAATTCAATCTGGAGTTGAGATATCTGGGAGATTAAGAATGGAAATGAATACACAGAGAACATGAGGATGTGTGTGTGTGTGTGTGTGTGTGCGCGCGCGCGCGCGTGTGCGTGCATGTGCGCGTAATGTGTCAACATAAGTTAAGGCAGAAGAAAGCAGAGAGCATCCACTGCACTCAGGACAAGGAAGCTCCTGTGGTCTGGAAAGGACACAAACAGTGGTGGTGCACTTCGAAGGGGCAAGAGTGAGATAGAGGAGTCAGAAAACTATGATGGAAAGGAAGGAGGCTGACACAGGGTGAGGGTGGTCCTGAAAAGGAGGATGGGCTGGATGTGGTAGCACAAGTCCAGCATTTTGGGGGCAGGAGGATGGTGAGTCTAAGGCTATTCTGATACACAGGACATTCAAGGTCTGCCTAGTGACACCACAGTGACAGTTTACCTTAAAATAATTAAATATTTAAACAAACAGATGATTGCTAGTGGCAGTATACTTTTCTAATCCCAGCATACAGAAGGCAGAGGAAGAGGGTCACAATTTCAAGGCCAGTTTGGGCTACACAATGAGTCTTTGTCTCAAAAAAGAAAAACTACACAGGGTCTTGGGGTGTAGCCCAGTGGTAGAGCACTTGCCTAGCATGTACAAAGTTCTCCATGACACTACCATACTGTTGTAAGGCATTAGACTGAATTTTTGGGAAAAGATGGTAAATTCTGAATGAGGTATAAGTTAACACAGAGGCATATGAACATTATGGAGCAGGATCTATTCATCTTTATTTTTTAATTTGTGTGTGAATGCCAGACAACAACTTTGGGTGTCATTCACCTTTCCATTTTTAAGACAGTCTCTTACTGACCTGGAGCTCACCAAGCAGGAGGATAGGGTGGGTGGCCAGGGAGCCCCAATTTATTTCTATTCCATCACTGCAAAGACAAATGTGTGCCACATTTTTTATGTGGTTTTGGAGATCAAATCCAGGTTCTCATGCTTGCACAGCAAACATTTTACCAACTGAGCCATCTCTACAGCCCTAACTGAAAATTTTCTGTCACTGCACAATTCACAACAGTGTTAGTAGCCTATGGACAGAGGCTAGGCAATGGGCTAGGGTCATAGTTTGCTTTGGCATACGACATTATGAGAGGCCCTGGAGAATAGGCTTGCCATAATCCAACCACACACTGGACAATGTTATATAATCTACATGATATTCTACATAATGAGTTGAAACCCTATTTGGAGCAGCTTAGCAATGGCATTCAGAATTAGATACTGAGACGGTCCCAGAAGTCACTTTATATATACATATAGAGAAGGAAGGAAGGGTAGATGGCGTACCGAACAAGCATGTGCTTCCTGTACCTATTTTCTCCAATTCTAATAACATCTTTCTGCATAGTAACATGTACTGTACCTTCCATACTGCCCAGTACCAGGCTGCACATAGTTGTTGCTGAGGTAACATTTGATACCTGATATATGCAAATTGAGTGGGCAATGGCATAGTTGTTTTTTTCATGTTTGCTATTTGAGATAGGGTCTCATATGGTAACCTAGCCTAGCTTGGAGCTCACTATATCACCCTGATTAGCCTTGAACTTGCAGTGGTCCTCCTGCCTCAGCTTCCCAAGTGCTGGGATTGTAAGTGTGAGTCACCATGAAATGGCTGTGTTGTTTGCTTGTAATTCTAAAATGTTACCAGGTTTCAGTAAAATAAAACCCTTACCTTTCTAATGTCTTCATACAGACCTTTCAAGTCTCTCCAGCCGAGTTTGAAAGGATCGGCGTATTTCTCACCACTCTGTGTCTGACTACAACAGCACACGGCTGGTGTCCTTTGATGGAACCTGAAGCAAGTGAGAATGCACATGACTCCATTTTTAAGTACGGCGGGAAATGAAGTTTAGACTTGTTAGAAATCAAACATGAATCTGAAAAGGTCATCATAATTTAGAAACACAGAATTATCATCTTGCGAAATAATGCATTAATAGGTCATTTTAATGAACAGTACCTCAAGAGCCAACAGAGAAAGGCTACATTATGTTTTTTATTGAGTAGAACTCAAATTTTACTATATTCTTATTTTTTAAAATATCAGAGATCATATACAACAGACTGCCATGGCTTTTACTTTAATATGATAACCTAGCCTAAGAAAAATTAGAACTTTACTAGCAGTGTGTATCTTTGTAGCTATGATATGGATTATAAACTTACTGTGATATACTATGCACACTTGGGACCGATGTTAAAGTCTTTACTAGGTTAAAATAGGGCATCTGTAAAACAAAAGTATAAAGAAACTTGTAAGAATATTCCTGAAAAACTTGTTCGTAACAACTATTCCCATAACTCACAACAAATATTACCGTTTAGTCAGCCATTTATAAGTGGTTGTAAACTTTAAGAGAAAGGACAGTTAGAAGCTCCCTTTCCTGATTATGAAGGCAATACATGTCCTATCAAAACACAGGAATCAGATGTAAGCAGGGGTCAGTCCTGGTGTTGCAGGCTTGTAATCCCAGCTACTGAGGAAGCTGAGGAAGGAGGATCCCAAGTTCAAGGTCATCCCAAACAACTTTTAGTGAGCCCTTATCTCAAAATAAAAGAGAGGAGAGGAGAGGAGAGAGAGAGAGAGAGAGAAAGAGAGAGAGAGAGAGACAACGCTAGGGAATGCTCAGTAGATGAGTAGTTACCTAATTCTTAAGAGGCTATAGATCTAATCCCCAGCACTGACAAAATAAAAAGCAGAAAATAAACACATCCATTCCTCTAAAAACTGGGTTAATATTTATTTGTACACCAAAAGAGTAGCAACAAAACAAATAATTTCCTTCCATCTAACTAAGTCTGGTCTGGAAAACTACAGAATCTTTTAAATTCTCAAAACACACATATGCTAAAAGCATTATGGGTGATGGTTAGGAAACTATTTTATCATTAAGGAATTGACATTTATACAAACGCTGCCTATGTTAAGTTATTGTTATTATTATTGGAAATAGTGCTTCTGAGTAAGTAATGCTTAATAAGCAAATGGACTAGGGAGTACAGCAAAGGTAGAATATGTGCTTTGTATGACACAGACAAATCACCACCAGCCTCAGGGGCATTTTGATAATATGATCAAATATCCAACCATCACCTGGGCATGGTAGGATATACCTGTAATCCCAGCACTTGGAGGTCAGGGGAGCAGGTGGACCACAAGCTCAAGGCCAGCCTGGGATATATAAAAAGTCTCAGAGAGAATATAAAACAATTACAATATACTACCTCTAAGCAATGTTCTAACAATATTACTATTCTTTAAAGATTTGAGATTTATATTTATTATATTTATTTTATGTGTGTGGGTGCTTAGCCTGCATGTATGTAGCTCAGTTTACATAGTTATATAGGGATATAATAAATTTGTGACATAGGCATAGGAACATCTGTTAGTATTTTTCAAGAAGGGAATCTAGAATGCCAAATAGGCATAGGAACATCTGATGTTAGTATTTTTCAAGAAGGGAATCTGGAATGCCAACAAATGCCTGAGGCCTTGCTCAATTTCCAGAGAATGGTTAGGGTAAATGATGTTCCCATACCTCATTTTTCTAAAGACAAGTGTGCTTTATGTAACCCTGAATGTGCTGGGCTGTGAATCATGCTTCTCTGCAGAATTGTAAACTCCTAACTGTTATCTAAGGAGCTGATGATAAAAATGAACCTTGTTGTGCACACTGCATTCCAGTGCTCAGCTGCCCTGAGTGCCCTGGTTTCCTGCTTTGGTTCTGGCATTAATCAGAAGGCATTTTGGCCAACTTGCCCCAATATGCCTATGCACCACATACATGCAGTGCTGAGGAGGCCAGAAGAGGGTGTTGGAATCCCTTGCAAATGGAAATACAGGCCATGTGGATGCTGGGAATTGAACACAGGTCCATTGGAATAGTGCTCTTAACCACTGAGTCATCTGTCCAGCCGAATATATTACTATTCTTAATGACAGGATGAAAGCATTTTAAAAATTAATTTACTAATCTGGTAAAGGCTTTTTACATAAAGTATTCAAAGAAAGCTTCTTGACAAAAAGGATGAAAGTGAAAATAAAATGTGTGTGTCTTAGTAATAGAGTCTTATGTTTTGTGGAGGAAGTCCTGTGATTATGTCAATAAAGCACTGTTGAGCAAATAGGAATCTAGATAGGTGGGACTAGGAGTCCAGAACTCTGGGAAGGAGAAACACAGGGAGTCGAGATGTAACGTCATGGGGTAGGAAGCCCAGAACTTTTCTCCGGTAAGAGAAATACTTAGATTAACAATTATGGGGTAATTACTTAAGTCAGAGCTAGCCAGTAAGAAACAAGCAAGGCCAACAGCTTCATAATTAATATAGTCTCCTGTGTGTTTATTTGGGACTGATGCGGCTCTGGAACCAGGCTGGCGGGAAGGCTTCTCTCAAGGAAAAGGTTTCTCTTTACAAAAACCATTTTCCCCTCCAGAGTCTCATAACTGTTTTGTTTGTTTCCAGACAGGGTCTTACTATGTATCCCAGGCTGGCCTTGAACTCACAGTTTTGCTTGCTGCCTCTGCCTCCTGAGTGCTGAGATTAAAGGTATGCACCATTATATCCATACCTGACTATAACTACTTTTTTAAAGTTGTATTTATTCATTTATTTGATGTGTAAATCTGTGTGTCCATATGCCATGGCAAATGTGTGGAGGTCAAAAGACAATTTGAAGGAATAAGTTCTCTCTTTCTATCATGAGGGTCATGAAGATTCAACTCAGGCAGTCAGGCTTGGCAATTAGGCACATTTACCCAGAGTTATCTAATCACCCCGCTTATTTTTAAAGTTAGAAAACTTAGATTCCAGAAAAGTTGAGCCTGAAGAATTGACTTACAACATGATTATAATTACAAGCAAAAAGTAGTTTCAGAACTATATGCATTGTCATCTCATTAAAGATCTCTGTGCAAGCACACAGAGACAGACAGGGTTTAGAAATATGTAAGCCAGTGTTTAAAGCAGTTATTTTGAATCAAATATGATTTTGTGTATGTGTGTGTATGTCTTGCTTTAGTTACTTATTTTTGGTATTTGCTTGAGTGAACATATATTGCTGTAGCTATATTAAAAGAAAAGATAATGTTCTTTGTCAAGCAGTAGCTAAGACAACTGAGGTCTGTTGTTTCCACTACAGCATTTTATCTATTAATTAAATCACTAAGAATATTTATGACCTACAGTTAACTGTAATGTCCCCAAAATATAGTTCTCTCTTTTGATTTTATCATTATAGGACAGCCTATTTTGGGATAGAGGTTTTGCTATGTAGCACAAGCTGGCTCTGATCTTACAATCTAGTTGCTTTAGTCTTCCTAGTTGCTGGGGTTACAAGTGACTGCCACTGCACTCTTTAGACAACCTACTTCGGTTGGTCTCCCTAAATAGTTAATTTATACAAATGTAATGCTTTACTATAGAACATATAACTAAGGACTGACCTCCCACCCCTGCCAATGTTTTAATACAGTATCTTACTGCATAGCTCAAGTTGATGCTGAATTTACAAAGATCCTTATGCCTCAGTCTCTCAAGTGTTGGGGTAGCACTGAGTATACCACCGGGCCTAGTGAGTGACAATTTAATGGCAGAGCTACAACTATTCAGTTTAAGACCTAAAAACACTCCTCTAAACTGGTATGGAATGTTAAAACTGCATGATTGATGCAGGACACCCTTTGCCAGTAGGCAGCTTGAAGACAGTTAATTGTATAGTCTTTAAAGGACTGAGCTTGGTACAAACAACAAAAATTTCTGGCTGGACCACTGTGACATCTTTCTATCCATAATTACTCATGGAAAGATGTCGAATCTTAGAGAGTAGAATATGTATGAAGTACTTAGCTGAGAATACAATATACAATATTTTTATGTATTTTGCAGTACTGGCACTCAACCTAGAACTTTGCCAACGTCAGAAAAGTGTTCTACCACTGAACTACAACTGTAAGCTCCACATAAAATTTTAAAATACTATCTATTTAATTACACCCTTATCTTCTCAGCAAAGATTTAAGACAGTATCTATTCAAATCAAACTGTATTATGTATTCTACTTAGAGCTACCTCAGGGCAGCATTTCCAAAGGGAGAGAGTCATAGTATTAAAATGAGGTTGTGCAACCAGTACTGTGGCTCACTAATGATGGCAGTGCAAACAAATTTCCCACTTCCGATTCTATTCCCTTTTTCTATAACTCACTCTCTTTGGAGGGCAACTCTGTCCCTTAAGATCTACTTTCTTTTTTAAAGGTCTCATATAACCCAGTTTGGCATTGAACTCACCATGTACTCAAGGATTACCTTGAACTCCTGATCCTCCCACCTATCTGCCAAGTGCTGGCATTACAAGCCTAGGTAAGAACTAACTGACTTTTTAAAATAAGAGAACATGCTAATATGAACCAAAGACAAAGTTGGGTGTGGTCACTCAAGTCTGAAATCCTAGCACAGCACTAGGGAAGGGGTGGGAACTGAGGCAGGACTACTACAATACACCCAAGGCCATGCTCGGCTAGATGATGAGTTCCAGGCCACCCTGGGCTATAGTACAATACCATGTTGGAGAGCCAAAGTTGGCTTAATTATTGTTGCAAGACCGTTGTTCTTAAGGTCTATAGTCCTAAAGAGATCAGAAGTAACCAAAGCACTCATGCCTGAAGCAGACAGTTTAATTTTAATATATTTACACTAACATGTTGGCACCATCAGTTAGGCTCTCCTTTTGCTCAAGGTGACAGATTCATTCCAGACAGCATCCTTTGTATGAATGAATTTTCCTGATGAGCATCTTTTTTTTTTTTTTTTTTTTTTTAAGAAACTGCCAAGGCAAAAAGTATTCAGTGGCATCTTGTGGTGGATGCCACTCTTCAAAACTTGTATGCATCTATGGAGATCAAAACCAAGACGGAAACCCTCTAAAGTCTAGCTTACAATACTGAAATGAACCCCTGCAAAACCTATCTCCTAAAACTCTCCCTACACTCGCTCTTTCTTATGCTTTCTATTCAGATCAGCGTGCATTTTCTCTCCAAACTCTTTAGATCATCTGTTATAACATCCACCTTCGTACAAAGCAGACATTTACAAAAGCCACCTATTTCATATAGGCAGAGTGTTTGATAACTACATTGACAAATGGAGTGTAACAAATCGTACTAAAATCACAAACCCGAATTTAAGGGGCAGGTTCTTTGTAGATGAAAGGTGAACCCTCATATAGTTACAGTGCGGCTGGAAAGGTCTCCAAAACGCACAGTGAAAAACCTCTAACTTCAAAAGTCAGTCTGAGAATGTTGCCCGGAAATGCCCACGGCACGGGCTGACCCCACTCACACAGAACTAGAGTCATTTACAGAGCTAAACTGACCCGGAAAAAAATGAAACTGAAGCCAATCGCAGCAGGGGAGAATTTCAAGGAATCACTCTTAGACTGAGATAGTGATTTAATTCAGCGAAGTCACAGGTCATGCTACACTCCGGCTGGCTGGTGTCCTTCCAGCGCCTTTCAGGTGTGCTCTCCTTCCTAAGCACCTGCAGCACTGAAGTCGGGTCCACCCCAGCTAGCATCAGCCTTGCGCTGCCCCACACTCTTTCCGAATTCTGAGGCTAACTGGATCTGAAATTGCTAGGAAAGTGAGAGCTTTGGTTCTATCTGCGGAAGGACCCGCGTGGTCCCGACACACCCCGGTCTCAATGAATGACAGCGTTGCGCTCCACCGCTACCCCTAACCCAGCCCCAATGTCCCCTGGGTGTCTGGGCAGCAGCTCCGCGCTTCGGGCCCCGCGACTAGTCCCGCTCCCCGTGCGTCCCTCCAGGTGACACAGTGCGGCAGGCCCTGGAGCACGTGCGCGCCCTCCCATTCATTCGGTCGCCGGCTGTCATTGGCATGGTGACCTCTACGCCGCGGGCAGCACGCGCGTCCTGGCCTCACCTGCGCGCGGGTGTCCGAGGCGGCGCGCGTCCCGAGCAGTCCCGCACAGCCAGGGTGTCCCGGCCGCGGGCTCCGGACGGCCGGCCTCCAGGAGCAGCCCCGCCGCCAGCACCACCAGCGCGTAGCCATAGCGCGAGTCTGAAAGTCGCGGCGGGCGGTGGCTCCGCCTCTGCCCCAGGCCCGGACCCGGAGCCGGAAGCTGGGCACCGGAAACGCGCGGCCGCACCCTGCTTCCCACCAGACCCGCTGCGCGGTCATCAGGTCTGTACGGCTCTTCTGGGAACTTCTCGCTCAGTCCCGTAGCCGCACCTGCTTTTAATCAGAAATGTGCGTCCAAACTGTCGTCCTACGCGCGACAAAGCGTGCAGAAATCAGGTTCCGGTCTTTGCTAACCCTGAGGCTATGGTTTCCTCAGCGCTATTGGCCCGCTGGGCTTGCCAAGTTCTTGGTCGACTTTTGCACTCCGGTCTCGGAAGTGCCAACCTTGCTTTGTGTAATTAGTCTTTGCTGAGGGTTGTTGTGAAACGAGATAACTTGGCCTCTTCCTTCGGATTTTGGACTCTGTTCTGAAAGCCTTAGAGACAGTTTGACAGTTTTTTTTTACACGTTTTAATTATATATTTAAATTAGGAACAGGCTTGCTTTCCATGTTAGTCCCAGCTCCCTCTTCCTCCCCTCCACACCTATTCCCCCCACCCAGTCCCCACTCCATTCCCTAGGGAGGATAAGGCCCTCCATGGATGCTCTAGAGTCTGTCATTTCGTTCCTGGGAGGCCCCAGGCCCTCCCCAAAGTGTCCAGATTGAGAAAGCATCCCTCGCTGTGGGATGGGTCCCCAAAGTCCATTTGTGTGCCAGGGATAAATACTGATCTACTACCCAAAAACCCCATAGATTGCCTGAGTCTCCTCATTGACACCCACATTCAGGGGGTCTGGATCAGTCCCATGCTGGCCTCTCAGCCATCAGGCTGGGGTCCAAGATCTCCCCCTTGTTCATGTCAGCTGTTTCTCTGGGTTTCACCAGCCCAGTCTTGACCACTTTGCTCATCCCTTTCTGCCCCTGGGTTCCAGGAGTTCAGTTCTGTGTTTAGCTGTGGGTGTCTGCCTCTGCTTCCTTCTGTCACTGGATGGAGGTTCTAGGATGGTATGCAAGACAGTTGTCAAAATCATTATTAGAGAGGGGCATTTAATGTAGTCTCTCCACTACTGCTTAGTTTGCCAGTTGGTGTCATCCTTGTAGATATCTGGAGATCTCACTAGTGCCAGATCTCCCCTCAAACCTAGAATGGCTCCCTCTATTATGGAATCTCCTTTCCTGCACTCCTCTATTCTTCCCCCAACTCAACCTTCCTGCTCCCCGATGTCCTCTTCTTCCTTCCTCTTCTCTCCCTCTCTTTTTCCTGGTTCCGTTTCCCCTCCCCTACCCTGTGCTCCCAATCTGCTCAGGAGATCTTGTCTCATTCCACCTTCTCTGGGGTACCATGTATGTCTCTGTTAGGGTCCTTCCTGTTTCCCTGCCTCTCTGGCAGTGGGATTGTAGACTGGCATTCCCCTGATTCATGTCTAAAATCCATATATGAATGAGTACATACCATGTTTGTCTTTTTGTGACTGGGTTACCTCACTCAGGATGGTTTCTTCTAGTGCGATAAATTTGCCTGCAAATTTCAAGATTCCATTGTTTTTTTCTGCTGAATAGTATTTCATTGTGTAAATGTGCCACATTTTCTCTATCCACTCTTCAGTTGAGGAGCATCGAGGTTGCTTCCAGGTTCTGGCTATTACAAATAGTGCTGCTATAAACATAGTGGAACAGACATCCTTGTTGTATGAATGTGCATCTTTTGGGTATATGCCTAAGAGTGGAATTGCTGGGTCTTGTGGTAGACTGATTTCCATTTTCCTGAGGAATCTCCATACTGATTTCCATAGTGGCTGCATGAGTTTGCACTCCCACCAGCAGTGGAGGAGTGTTCCCCTTTCTCCACATCCTCTCCAGCATAAACTGTCATTGGTGTTTTTGATTTTAGCCATTCTGACAGTAGTAAGATGGTATCTTAGAGTTGTTTTGATTTGTATTTCCCTGATTGCCAGGGATGTTGAGCATTTTCTTAAGTGTCTCTCGGCCATTGTAGTCTCCTCTATTGAGAATTATCTATTTACCTGAAGATGTAGGGCCCATTCCTGGGTGGAATGAACTACACCGAGTTAAAAACTTTTTTTTTGTCTACACAGACTCGCTGTGTAGACCACATTGATTCATGTAGACCAGGCTGGGCTCAAATTCACCATCCTTCTGTCTGAGATTGCCGACATAGTCTGCCATGCCCAACTCTATTTGCTAATGCATACAAAGCAACAGGGCATACATGGGCAAGAAAGTGGGTTTTGTTATTGTTCGTTTGTGTTGCCTGACTCATCTGTTGAATTTAGTTTGGTATTGAAACAGCATTTTTATAACATTTTCATGGAACGACTGTACATGTTCGTAATCATCTGCCATAATCTTACATGGGAGTCAGTGAGAGGCAATGCAAGCACTAGGGGAAATTGAGGAAACTATGATCCCATGTTGACTCTTAGGAAGAAATAAGCCAGTTGCTGTTTTCTGAATCATGTTTTCTCTTGTTTTGCGCCACACTTAAAGAATGTTAACTCTAAAGTCGAGCACATTATTTTCATATTAGATTTCTATGTTTAAAATGGAGGTTATACATGTATGTAACTGTCAAAGAAAAAAGGAAGTTGCCTGTATAGAGGTATCAGAGTGTTTTCCTAGCATGCACACAACCTGGGTTCCATCCCAACACCATAGAATGAATGAATGAATGAATGAAACAATCCAATAGGAAGATTTTGTCAAGATATGCATGTAGCAATAAAGAGACCGACAGCCAAAAATTAGGCAGAACTCAGGAAATCCTGCAGAAGAGGGCAAGGAAGGATTGTAGGAACCAGAGGAGTCAAGACACCACAAGAAAATGGCCCACAGAATCATCTAAACAGGGCTCTTAGGGGCTCACAGAGACTCAGTCAGGGAGCCGGTATGGGGCTGGCTGTTCTATGTCCTCTGCATATACATTATGGTAGCATAGCTTGGTGTTCCTGTGGGACTCCTAGCAGTGGAAACAGGGCCTGTCTCTGACTCTTTGCCTGCTTTCAGGAACCGTTGCCTCCTACTCTCCTACTGGGTTGCCTAATCCAGCTTAATATGAGGGTATGTGTGCCTAGTTTTATTATAACTTGACTTGCTGTGTCTGGTTGATATTCCTGAGAGGCCTGCCCTTATCTGAAGTGAAGGCAGGAGGAGTGGATCTGGGAGAAAGTGTAAGTGTGTGTGTGGGGAGGGGGGCTGGAAGGAGAGGAGGGAGGGGAGACCACAGTTGGATGAAATATATGAGAAGAATAAATTTTAGAAAAGAGTGTAGCAACAAACACTTTCATTGTTCTTTTGACAGTGCTCTGACCAGTAGCATATTGTTATTGGATATCTTTTTTTTTCCATTAGGGGAACAGGAATAAAGCCATAGGGGGATGGATATCAATCCACAATTCTGCCTGGCATTTGTGTGTGTGTGTGTGTGTGTGTGTGTGTGTGTGTGTGTGTGTGTGTGTACATTATTTAGCAAAAGACCTGTCTCTTAAAAAGAATTTGTAGTGGTTTGTGATATAAGTAAAAGAGCACTTTCCTAGCATGGGCAAGCTCCAGGGTTGTGTCCTCAGCACTAATGCAGACAAACCCAAGAAGCTCTCACAAACTCTAACAAAGTTGTAGTATGAGAGATGCAGAATTAACTAGGGAATGTAGGTGACCTCATTTAAGGCCCCAACACTATTGTGTAGCTAAAATCTGGCTACTAATAATCTACCAATAAGACACAGAATTCATAGATGATTTTTTTTTGTTTTTGGTCCAAAGAGGCCAGTCAGGAGATGGTAGTAGATCCTGGAGCAGGTATTTGGGAGCTACAGAACATGGGTGCTGTGAGCTGAATTGGCATCTAAACATATAAATCTACCATGAAATATGAAAATAAAGTGCTCAGCTTTAGGGCTAACATTTTTCAACGTAAGCATGATGCAGAATAAGAAAAAAATATGATTCACAAACTTACAGATGGTGTATTTCTTCCTAAGAGCCAACACCTGGGGGAACACAGTAAGTTTCTTCAGTCTCCCTGGTGCTTGCCTTGCCTGTAATTGACTCCTTATGTTTGTAAGGTTATGGGGTCTTGGGCACAATCTAGAAGCAACTTTTACCTTTGTCATTGCACTTGTGCACATGAAACAACTAGTACTGACAGGTAAAAATGGGTGCGTTAAATAATGAACACCTTGTCATAATTGTCATTTTAGTTTTGGAGGATTGGTTGTACTTCTAAACATTTTGTTGTCATATTGATGATATAGTTGAAGTATCCTTGGAAGGTCTGATAGCCAAAGAAAGATTAAGAAACATGAAGTTTTCTCGGTGTTGCTGGTTCCCTGGTCCTATTTCCTCATGACCTTCTTAGCGGAGGAAGGGTCTGGGCCTCTTACTCCCTTGGAGTCTACATTGTGTCTGCTCAGCACCTCCGCAGAGAATAGAGAGATTTCCTGTTAGTTCTCCTGCCTGGATCACATGGTGACTTCTCTTTACTACATTTCCCAGAAATCTCCTTGTCTCCTAGTCCCGCCTATCTTGCTTCTCTACTGGCCAACAGTGTTTTATTCATCAACCAATAAGAGAAACATGTACAGAAGACTTCCCTATCATCTCCTCTTTTCTGTCTAAGTAAAAAGAATTTTAACTTTAATATAGTAAAATATATGACAAAGCAGTTATTAAGCAAGAACTATGTATACAATATTTAGTCCGATAACATTTAGCAAGATTCAAAGAAAAAATCATCTGTGAGGCTAAAGTCTTACATATAACTTATCTTTTATCATAACTAAGGAAAACTATAACCTTAACTCCCTGTCTTCAACTCCATCAAAGGATAGTACATAAACAGTAGAACTGACAGAGACATCTTGCTGCCTAGACAGTCACCAAAGTTCCTCTGTATTGCTGGGGCATCCATCTTCAGCCTATAGGCCATAATGTGTATGGAAGACTTCTCAGCAAAGCAGGAAATTTTAAACTGCCTGCCTGTATTGGCAGTTTGTCAGTCATTTTTCTCTATGTCTTGCAGAATGTCTGACAGACTTCCATGAAGCAGAAACCCTTCAGGACTGTCCATCTTGTTTTGCAAGTTCAGCAGTCACTTTCTTGTGTGTCCTGCATGTCCAGTTTATCAAACAGTCAAGGCGAGAGCAGTTTCTTGCCCAAATGGCTAGTCTTGCCATGTTGAAAGCAAACAGCATATTGAGTTTCTTTTATGCCCATCATTCTTTCTGATGTAATCGGTGTTCCCAGGAGCAGTTGTGGCTCACTGTCTTGAAAAACTCTAAACCATTTTAAATGTCATATTCTGAAGGTCTTTGGAAGGTTTGAAGAATATCTATCTATCTCAAATATATTTCTGTATATTTAGAAAACCTGACTAACATAAGTTCTATTAGAGGTGTCTATATACAATCTGTATTTAATTATGCATTACATTTTAAAAGGTCTGTATAAACACAAAACTTAAACATAGGAGAAATATAAATATAACAAAAATGACCTTAAGTTTGTATCAATAAATGAAAATTCATACCAATATAAAAGTATTCATTTCTATATCCTATTCCCCTTTTTTCCTTTAAAGAGATTGGTTGTGATCATTACCATTTCTAACCAGCCCTATTAAACTGAAAACAAACATTTTTATAAACAATATTTGGAAATGTGGGCATTGTTCTTTCCAAGTTGCTTCCAGCTGTTTGGAATGTTGGATCACCTAGGCCACTGCTTCAGGGGGTCTTGCTTCTTCAAACTATATTTTTGCTTTAAAATGACCCACTGAATCCAATTAGTACTATGCGTATGCACACAGGTGTCAGGTCATTCACCAGGACCCGGGTAGCCTACCATGGTCACCCATCCTCAAGGAAAAATGGCTCTCCTTAAGCAACCACCAACTTCCATTAACTCCTTTGCTAGGTTGGGGCATCAGGAGCTTCTCTTCCTTCCTTGTTGGGAATTTTAAAATAGAATATTTTCTGTTTATTCTTTGATATTTTCATACATGCAAACAGCACATCTTAATCATATACACTCCCAACTACCCTTCCCCCCACTCTCCCAGGCACTCCAACATACCTCCTTCCTGATACTTTCTGTTATTTCTTTCCTTTTTTTTCTGTTAAGAACCTCCTAAATCCAATTAGTGCAGCTTGTTGGTATGTCAATGATCTTGACTTGATCTCATGCCAGTAACCATAGCTGCAATGAGTTCATGGGTGTATTGGCCATGTATGTACCCAAGACAGTGTTTTGTAGCACTCTCTCATATCTTCTAGCTCCTTCTTTCTTTCCAAAATACCTGACAAAAATCAACCTAAGGGAAAAGAATTCATCTTGGTTCATGGTGTCCAAGGTGACAGCTATCATGGTAGGATGGCATTCAGAACAGAGCAGCTAGGACAGCCTGGAAATAGGAGGAGAGGTTCAGAGAGATGCCAGAGAAATGATATTCCTAAGGGCCTGCTCCATCTAACTAGCTAGATCCTAGCTCCCCAAATTTCAAGAACCTATCAAAATAGCCTCCACAAACTGGGGATAAAGTATTTAGAACATTAACCTGTGTGGGGACATTTTATTGTCTTATCACAAAGATCATACCTCCTGGTTAGTAACTGATAAACTAAACAGGATATATATTCAGTTTTAGAAGGTTTGAGAGACCTATTTAACAAAATTGTTTTAAAGAGTAAATATATAATAATTCATACCTGAGGTACATGTGAACTGCATATAAAAATTGACCAAATATAAAGCCATAATATTTCTCAATAAATTTCAATAGCTCAATTTTTGAATTTGATAATATTAATACCATAGCATCCTTCGTTTCGACAGTGAAAGTGAGTACATGAAACATGTAGCAAAGGCTTCAATGTATATTCTCCCTTTTAAGACTTATTTTAAAAATCCTATTTTAGGGCCCAGAAAGATGGCTCAGTGGTTAAGAGAAATTGCTGTTCTTGAAGAGGAAGTTGGTTTCCAGCACCCCTCCCCCTCCCACACGGAGAGAGCCAGGCAGAGAGAATAAAAGAATGAAAAAACTCGTTTCAGATTTTATCATGTGTCAGATTAAACCATATGTCTTATAAATTCTGGGTTGTTTGTTTATTTTTTTTGTTCTTTTTATTTTTGAGAAAAAGATCTCTCTATGTTAGCCTTGGCTATCCTGGAACTCATTATGTAGAACAGCCTGGCCTAGAACTCACAGAGACTCACCTGCCTCTGCCTCCTAAGTGCTGGGAGTAAAGACATGTGGCATCGTGCCTGGCTCAAATGCTGTGTTTTAAATTACGGCTGATTTATTACAGTTATTGGTCTTGGTGACCTCATTTTACAAGATTATAGGTTTTACAAGTGAAGACTAGTAGCATTGTCTTGATTCCTGGCTTTAGAACTGTTCTTCATCCAAGCATTTCTCTAGACTTTGTCTGTCAGGGTTAATCTGGATAACCCTGTTCAGGTCTAGGGAATGCTTGTGAAGTAACCTCTCAAAGTTATTCTGCTTCACTGAGAAGAAACTACAGTAGTTACTGCCTGGTGGTGTTTATACCTATAAAGGTATGGCTGCTTAACGTTCACTGAAAGCACCCAGGCTTTTAGGGCTTCAGACCATAAGACTTCAGTATTGGACTTGCCCTCACACAGGAATGCAGTATAGACGAGGGCGGAGAGGTGGAGAGTCGAAGTGTGACAGTGCTTTAGTCTTCTCTGACCATGTCAATATTCTGTTCAGTAGCTCTCCAAAAATACATATCAAGGGTTGAAACTTGAGAGCATCATAGTCCCTTTGAGTTTTTATTGTACATTCTCTGATAAAGAAAAGATCTGGTATAAGCAGAATTTAAGGGACTCACCAACCCTGCAGGTTTTACCTCTTAACAATATATTTAAAGTGATGCTTTTGTAGTCTCCTATGAAACCCATTACAACTGTATCCTTCATTTACCCTCTGAGGACTCAGATTCTGGTCCTTTCCCTCCCCTGATCCACAGCAATGAGTTCCCAGTACCTCTTTTACTACTCTGGCTACACACAGCTTAATAAAGAATGATGGGTTGCTCCCCCTGGCCAGTGATGTTAAATCATTCTTCAGAAAGATTTCCCAGTTAGGGAAAACCTCTAGATGGTAGATAGAAAGTTGGGAGTTTGTAGAGTGACAGTGAAGTAAGTATACAGACAACAGCAAAGGTGGGAAAAGATGGGGGAGAACCAAGAATTTTCCAGAGCCAGTTGTAGGACCGGGGTGCTTAGACACATGCTTACCATGGGCGTCCTGGGACTCTGCTCTGATTCACAGATGAGATAAACTTTCAGTTTGCATTTTCACTAGGCAGTTTTGTTATATAAAGTCAGAACCTTAATTGGCAGAGTGGGCTGCATCATTTCCAGGTTGCCTCCAGACTGCTGGGCTATCAAGCAGGAACCTGTATTTCCTTCTATAGCTATGACCATGAATCTCTACCCAAGTTTGTATACTCTGAAATAAGCAAGCGACACACTATTCTTTTGACCCCAGGAGACCAGAGTTCTAAGTTTTACAAATGCTCCTGATCTGCAATCACGGTAGTTGTTTTATTTGTTGCTCTGTTTTTATTTTGAGATAGGGTCTTGGTACATTGCCAGGACTGGCCTCCAATTTGATTACAAGCATATATCACCACACCTGGTTCTAGACGGTTATTTTGATCCACATTTGTAAATCCAGATTATAGTACTTATAAAAATCTTTTGTCTTGAGCTCTTTGTAATGGCTTCATTAATCTGTCAGATTTAAGCAGTCTGGACTTCTCTTTGGCCACAGGCATTCATAGCTTCTTACCAAACGCGAGTTCTCAGAACTAATCTCTAATAAAACTATGCCATTTTGCCGGTCTGCATTGTCCCAGGAGTCCCAAAGTTCAGGCTTTGACTGGGGATCGGAAATTATGATTTTACTGCGCTGATATAAAGTCATAAAATTTCAACTGGAGTGAGTTAATATATGTTGGGTGAGATTTGAAGTAAAGTGTTTGCCTTCAGTTTCAAATACTTCCTCAAGATCATTTGCGGCACCTTGCTCTATGCGCCCCTCCCTCTGCATTCTTGCTTTACTTTCACTTGTTTTGGTTTTTGGTTTTCTAATTTGAACTCTCTCTCTCTCTTTCTCTCTCTCTGTATGCGTGTGTGTGTGTGTATCTGGTCATGGTTCAAACTAAAACAACACTTAAAAAAAACAAAAAAAGTGAAAAGTAGGCTAGGGGTTTGTAGTTGAGTGATACACACGTGGGGTATGCACCCCTGGGTTCATTTCCAGCACTTCAGAACCAACCAACCAAACAACCAACCAACCCACCCACCCATGCACCCACACATAAAACCAGTATTAGGGCCAGAGATGGAATCAATGAAGGAGTGTAACAGAAATAGAAAAATCTGCTTTCTTTCTGTTTCCTTTCTCTCTTTTGCTTTCTCTGAAGGTCTTGGCACTGGGAAGGAAAATAGAACAAGACTTAAGAAGGCATTGGACTTAAAAAAAAAAAAAGGTCAGGAAGTCAAATATTGACACCATACAAAAAATACACTATTTCTAGAAGAATTTTCAAACTTTAATTTTTAAAAATTGAGCCTTCTGAATACAATAAAATGAACCTCGAAGATGAAATCCACTCAGGTGAAAACATAAGGGATGTATATGTATGTGCTATCTTAATGGATGTGAACATATTTACAACAGTAAAGAGTTGCACATGATTTCTAGTCAGAAAACATTTTACTAAAATGATCAAGATGCCACGGCAATGGAGTACCAAAAACATGGATCAAATTAGAAATGATCACAGACACTAACATATAGATCCCTAGAGCACATTGCCTCTTTTCTTTTGCAAAGCTTTCATAAGGTCTGACATGAAATCTTGCTCACCGCTCCCTGCTGCACCGGGGGAGTCCTTGGTTCTCTTGCCTCTTGGGGGGCGCTGGGGGCTTTTTGGGGGGGCATTGGAGATGACTTGGTCGTTTCCTGGGAGAGACAGGGAGGGGGTGGTGGCGGTGGTGGCAATTCACAGGCTTCAACAGCCACAGCCCGTGGGGGTGGTGGCACGAAGTCCGGTGGCTCCTCCAGGAAGCCTGGAGGTGGTGGGGGTAAGTCGCTGTTGCTGTCCTCCTCAGGTGGTGGTGGCGGGGGTGGAGGCAGGAAGTCGTCGGGCGGGGCTGGGAAGGCGCAGCTGCCAAGGCCCTTGGACTTTGGTGGTAAGGCAGGGCTGCCACACGTGTCCGAAGATCGTCTTACTGGCGGGGGCGGTGGCAGGCTGGACTTCAGGCGATGGTTCTCTTTGGTTACTCCTAGGTAGTGGTTACCCAAGCCTTGCTTCTCCTCCTTCAAGAAAGTGACAACAAAGCTTTCATGGTTCTTGACAACATATCTATCACAGGACATATACGCTGGTAGAGATTGCCCCATTCCCTCCCACACCAGGACTAAGTGCGCTCATGAGCTCACCTTTGCTCCAGGTACAGGAGTGATACCAGATGCCTTTGACATCGTTATAAGTGAGCACTCAACCACCACCCTCTGTAACTGGGCATCTCAGCCACATTCACTCTAGGAAGTGTTTACTGTCTTTAGATCAGTAAAGTCTGAATAAATCCTAACTCCTTGTGGGGTTCCCTCAGTTTTATTTCCAAGCAGATCTCATCTCCAGGCAACTCAAACTGGAAGCCAAATGGTTCCCTAAGACTTCCTACTCAAGAGCTAAGACAAGCCATCAACGTACTGGTCATATAAAGGGACACAATTTTAGGCACACGCGTGTGAGCCTGTGTGTGTGTGTGTGTGTGCACTGAGTCCCTGTGCCACCTTTGGTTGTACAGAGGCAATTACGGGACATCTCAGAGTCTTCACAAAGTCTCTTGGCTTAAAATCTAGCCAGGAACCTGTGGCTGGAGAGGTCATAGACTCCAGGGGTAAACCTGCTACTACTATTTTTTTTTTTTGCTAAATGGACATAGAATTAAACTGCCCTCTAAATATTTATCATTATTGCCTTAGATTAGTGCGGCTCTCAGTCCTCATTAGAGAAATGCCTTTGTGCAGTAGACAGCGGTTAATACAGAGACTCATACTGGTCATGGAGCAGAGAACAGGAGTCAGTGGGGGTGCTCAGTCATAAAGGGAACATCTATGTGATACACCCTTCCCCCAAGGCTCGGTTCCCAAGAGCAAGGGAGGACAGAAAGACTGTAAAAGCCAGAGGTCGGGAAGTGGAAAATGAAATTGTGTTTTGGACCTTGACCTGTATAATAACAAGCTAGTTGACATTCCAGCTCAGTTGGGACCTATATAGGAGCTCCCACCCCTAGCTGAGAATCTACTCACAGTTGATGGCTACTAGAGGAGGGAAGAATCAATTTTTTTAGGAACATGGTCCTTAGTGGATTGACCGGGACCCAGTAGATAGCCCCACACCCATGGGTACACAGGCAACATTGGACTCAGTGGTTATAAGAAAAAAGAGAACGTAAAGTTGGGAGGGAAGTGTGTGTGAGTGAGGGGATATCTGAGAGGAGATGGAATTGGGGGGAATTGGGGATAAATGTGCTCAAAACACATATGTGCATATATGGAATTCTCAAAGAACAAATAAAGAATATTATATAAAAAAACCTCTTTGCTTAGATATCCTGCTTGGTTAGAATGAAGACGGTAGAAGTGATGTAACTAAGAGAAATAATTCTGTCTGGGTGTTCACAAACCCAGCCATCAAGGATCTCTTCCTGGTAAAGAGCAGGTTCCAGTGTTCCCTTGATTGGGGATGGTATTTCTATGCATTATTGTTCCCAGAACAGAGGTTCTGGTTTCCAGACTGTGGACTTCAAAGGCAGAACCAATCATAAGCTTTACCCTCTACCAGAGAAACTTTCAGGAGGGCATAGCAGGAAGTGGGACACCTGGTCTAAACTCTCAGTTTACCTTCCTCTTTTTAGTGTGTGTGTGAGTGTATGTGTGCGCGCGTGCGTGTGTTCACTCAAGCACACTCTTTCGTGTGTGGTGAAAGTCAGGTATAAACTGAACATCATGTGCCTTGGGTTATAATGAAACCAAGTACGATAATCCCTTGATGAGTTCCTGAAGTAAAACCATGATGCCTATGCTGTTTGTAGAGGTCAGAACACCTGACTTGGCTTAAGTCTCTCTAGACTCTAGAGCATTCGATAGAGGGCTTGATGATGATAACAACAGTGTATTTATAAAAAAATGCAACAACCCTAGCAATTCCAGGCAGCTAAATTAAATGACTACATTTTAGGGAAAACCACCATTGCTTTAATTTATACTTTATTAGCTTCTGTTTTATTTTTTCTCTGCTTAGTAGCCTGAACCACTGAAGATTAAATTTAGATTTTTTCTACTTTCCAATGAGTTTCAGTTATTTACTTAGCATGCTAAACTAATTAACTTGTGATATACTTCTTTAAAAAATTGCATCTGGCAGCTTGGGTATTGGTATTCACATAGAAATGATTTCCATTTTGGGGTTCTTTTATTTTTTTGGCTTTTAAAAATACTTTTTGACTATTGTTACAGAGAAAAATGAAAATATAGCAGAAAGAGCACTGCACGGCAATACTGTCAGGCTTGCATAGATTAGAGAAACAGCTTTTAAAAGTCTGCAATGGCTTTCAGAAACAGTAAGGCTTTCAGCAAACATCAGTGTACACATCTACCACTGAAGGGGTGAGGGAAGTTAGTTAGTGAAGCCGTACCCACCGTGGGATGTGGGTGGCCTGAGAGGGCCACAGCTACTTAAAGCTGTTCTGAGTCACAAGAAATACTCAGTGGAATTTCCAAACTCATCTGAGACATAGGAACTGGATTAGTAACTAAATTATAGCCAGCTATGACTTTTATATAGGCTTAAATTAATCTTCATTAATCTCTTTTATAGAAAAAGTTATGGAAGATGTTACCCTATAAGCCTGCCTGCTTGCCTGTTTATCTGTCTGTCTGTCTATCTATCTATCTATCTATCTATCTATCTATCTATCTATCTATCTATGATCTATCTATCTCTGTGGTGCTGGCGACAGAACCCAGGGCCTCACACCTTCCTACATGCTGGGCAAATGCTGTGCCACTGATCTGCATCTCCACCCTTGGTTATTATCTTATGTGTGTTTTCTTCTCCATCACCCTGAGCATGCATTCAAATCATTAACTGAAAAATAGAAACTGCACATTTTATGAGTTGTCCCCTTTTACGAGTCTTCTGATTTGGTTTTGGGGTTCACTTGGCACTTCATATAGGGCTTCTGACTAACTTTCAATTAGCAAAATAACTGAAAATCTCAAGGGCTGAGAGAACGTGAAAGTCACTGCAATAAGAAAAATCCCGCCGGGTGTTGGTGGCGCACGCCTTTAATCCCAGCACTCGGGAGGCAGAGGCAGGTGGATCTTTGTGAGTTCGAGGCCAGCCTGGTCTACAAGAGCTAGTTCCAGGACAGCCTCCAAAGCCACAGAGAAACCCTGTCTCGAAAAACCAAAAAAAAAAAAAAATCCCTCTGTCATAACAAATGCAGTTAACAAACATACTTAGGGCAGCACAAAGCAATGAGAATAACAGTTGATGTTAATGTTCACCTCTAGCCTAGTAGCTATAAGATAAAATGTGAAGCCATTTCCTTAAATGAAATTATAGTACACTGACTTCCTGGTTGTTAGGAGTCTATTTGGGTTCTGAAAAAGGTCCCAGGACCTGGCTGCATTACCATCTGGGCAGGCTTTGGGGGTCTGTGGTTTATCTTAGTTGTTTCAACTTGTGTCTGAGCCTCTTGGAGAAGAGCACCAGCAGAAGGTACCGCCTGGGGAATCTGACCATTGGGCTGGCTGGTGCCTGTTTTAAGTCCTGAGGGGAAGAAAAAAGAAGAAGGCATTTTTAGTGTTCTTGAAGTAGAATCTGCAAATACAAAGCATTTTACATCATAAAGCAAAAGGAAACATTCAGAGGTCCACTTTGGGTATGTCTCTGCCATTAAGAATGTGCTTTGTAGCCCAGCGGTGGTGGCGCACGCCTTTAATCCCAGCGCTCAGGAGGCAGAGGCAGGTGGGTCTCTGTGAGATAGAGGCCAGCCTGGTCTACAGAGTGAGTTTAAGGACAGGCTCCAAAGCTACAGAGAAACCCTGTCATGAGAAAAGAAAAAAGAAAAAAGAAAGAAAGAATGTGCTTAGTATGTGTGAGGACTTGTGTTTAGTTATATATATATTAATCTTTCAGGAAACGCTTAAGATTTTTTGCAGTGGGCAGCGGGTGATAGGCAGATGCATACCTGATCAAAAGGAGTGCTCAGCCCTAAGTGGGACATCTTTGTTGCCCCTCCCTGCACCAAGATTCAGGGAACACAGTGGAAGAGGGCTAATAAGTACTTTGGGCCTGGCTTAGTGGTTAAGAGCACTGGCTGCTCTTCCAAAGGACCGGAGTTCAATCCCAGCACCCACATGGCAGCTCACAACTCTGTCTGTAACTCCAGTTCCAGGGGATCTGGCACCTTTACACCCACACATATAATAAATTAAGAGGGAAAAAGAATGTCAGAGCTGGATAATGGGGGGGGAGTGCTGTGAAGTGTTTGCTGTCTTCTAGATGTGACATGACTACTCAGCACTCATGAAATCATACCACTTATGTTTAGCTGTACAAGAGCAATTCAGCCAAAATTCAGCCCATATATGGGGCGGGGAGAATCTGTATTAAAAATGTGTTTTTCCAAGATCTAGGTGATATTCCTACATACATCACATATAGGCAGCACTAATTGGATTTAATGTGTTATTTTAAAAAAGAAAGAATATATGAATTGAGAGGGGACTTCACTGGAAGGACTTAGTGGGGGTATGGGACATGAATATGACCAGGTTTCATTGTATACATATATAGAATTCTCAGGAATAAAGAAAAATTAATATTAAAAATTTTTGTTTGAGAGTGAGTTCCACGACAGGCTCCAGAGCAATACAGGGAAACCCTGTCTCAACACCCCTCCCCCAAATTGCTGTTTGAGTGCTGACTTATTTCATGAAATGATTATTAGGACACAATTTCCAATGATTTCTGAATAGCCCTAAACAGACTCCTGCCATTTTTGCACTATTTATTTGTGCAAAGTGGCATTCTCAGCACTAATGACTATGAAATCAGAGTGCAGATCAACTCTAAGCAACACTGAAGATGTCTTATGCCTTGCAGTATCTCCGTGTTAAAAATTAAATCAGTGCATCCATATTTCATTAGTATGTAATTTTATTTAATCTCCAATCAATGGTAAAATTATACACATAAAATTTGTCTTAAGGTAACATTCTTTTTCTTTTAACAGCAAGTTTTCCATTTATTATTGTGCATCCTCCTTGCAGTATCACCAAAGCTGAGCGATCTACTAAGTGGTAGCAATTTCCCAATAATCACAATAACCTCCGTGGTAGAAGACATACCTCGCAGACTGTCTGTTTCTACTCCTAGACATGAAATGACTAGCAGAGCTGCTGTGCTGGGGGTGGGTGTGGGTGTGGGTGTGGGTCCTGCTTCAGTCAGAGTCCATGGCAAACAGCTGGATGTCCTGTGGGTTCCAGTCCAGGCTGACTGCCGAGCAGCCCAAGGTAACATTCTTTGTGACTCATTATCAGCAAGTGTTTGCTTCACATTCCTCCTTTAAACTGGATATTGGTTCTATCTACACTAGATACTACCTTCTCCCATATTTAGTTCCCTCAGCCATGAAACGGGGATTGTACTCTACATGCTGTGGAGCTCTTACAATCCATGAGTTCTGTATCCATGATCCAATCAATTATCGACCAAAGCGTTTGAACATATGCAGGGTTTTCTTTTTTTTTTTTTTTTTTTTTTTTACGAGACAGGGTTTCTCTGTATTGTTTTGGAGGCTGTCGGTCCAGCCCGGCCTTGAACTCACAGAGATCCGCCTGCCTCTGCCTCCTGAGAGCTGGGAGCTGGGATTAAAGGCGTGCGCCACCACCGCCCAGCGCAGGGTTTTCTTTGTCATTATTTCTTAACAAATGCAGTATAACAACCATGTACTTGTAGAGTGCTCAAGGGGTCCCTAGAATCTGTCACAGATACCAAAGGACAGCTCTGTATGGAAAGCAGCAAGCTCATTAGGCACCTAATCTTAATGCCTTCTTAAAAATACAGACAAGTCAAGGCTGTGCTACCTTAGAATGTGATGCCTGGAATTGGGTATGAGACTCTAGCCATCATGTCACCAAGGGAAAACAGCAGGCCATGACCCCATTTCTGGTCTGAGTATTCTGCTGAGTACTAATGAGCCTTGTGCAAATATGGTATTTGTATTTTGATAAGGCACATCTCCTTGTAGCCCATCCTAAAATCATGGTCAACACCTTACATATGGGTCTATTGTGAAAAAGTGATCAATGCTTTGTGAAAAGTCACTTGTAATTAGATACATGGGGGACATATATATTCCCAAACAGTGTCTTCAAAGTTGTTTTGTTTTTATTTTGTTTTATTCTATTGAATGCGCCCATGTTTCTCTCTTTTCTTTGCATGTGTGCACATGTATGTGCATGGGTGTGCTCATGTATGCAGGTGTGTGTGGAGACTGGAGGTTGATATCAGGATGCCTTCCTTAGTTACTTCTTCACTTCACTGGTTGGTTGGTTGGTTGAGATGGTCTTTCATTGATTCTGGAGCTCATCGATTGGCTAGACTGGATGTCTAGCAAGGTCCCAAGAGTCATCTATTTCTGTTCCCTAGCGCCTGGTGTCACAGACTCGTGCCACCTCATCTGGCTTTTCTCGGGTGCTGAGAATCTCAACTCAGGCTGTCATGCTTGCTTGCACAGCCAACATTTTGCCCACTCTGCCAGCTCTGCAGTGCCCCCAGAGGTTGCTTTTACACAGCGTGTTGGATGATAGACACGAGCTTGGTGTGTGCATGTGTATCTCCTCTTGGCTTTTACCTGTAGTAGTCTGAGCTGGCATTGCTGCACCAGCAGTCCCCAGGTTCGTCCACCGAGAGGCAAGTCCAGCTCTTGCTACAGCCCTATGGTAGTTGTCATAGAGGGTCTTCCCATACTAGGGAGGGAACACAGAGAGGGGAAAGAAATCCATTTATGTCAAAGTTTGCACTCAATGGCAAGATATATATTGAGAGAGAAAATAATGTCATCATTTTCTTGGTTCAAGTTGCCTTTTGGGGGATATAGTTCATTGATTACTCTTTCATATGTGAACTAATTTTCTCGATTACCAGAAGTAACTAATTCTCCCACCTACACATCAGAGGATAGGGCTAGCCACAAAATTTTGACTACTAGCCTTGGTAACTATTTTGTGGGGTTAACCAGCTTCCTTTGCTCACTCCCTTTTATGGTGGGATCAAACTCTGCCTCACACACACTAGACAAGTGCCCTACCACTGAGGTACACACCTGTGACCAAATCTTGAGTTTCTTTATTACACACTGTGTTTGCAGTTCTCTCTGTGAATCTGAAAAGTTTGTTTGAAAGTTAACTCTGATTCTCAGGCCACTGGACAGGTGCCTGCTTGTATCGGCAATACTATACAATAGTAGGTGAATGACCCCGTTTACTGGGGGGAGAAAATAGATGAGGCAAAATGTGCCCAGGAAAGGCAAAATGCTGGCCCTAGTGAGAAAACTTGTTGGCTAACCCAAGACCGTATGAAACTGAGTGCACACTCACTTTGGCAATCCTTATTCCCATAACCCACTGTCCGAGAGTTCTTGCATCATCACAGCAGAGATATTTGATATACTGAGATTCCTTCTGGATTTGAGGATGCTACAAAGAAGCAGATTTGAAGACAATTAATAGATTTAATTTATTAAGAGTCCAAAGCACTTTTCAAAATAAACCTTAAAGGAAAACTTTGACAAATATGATTTATTGAGATGGTGTCAAAAATTACTGACAGCAGTTTTAGGATCAGGAAGAGACAGAGGTGTCATTCTGAAGCCCAGGCTGGTTTTGAACTCCTGAGCCTCCTGCCTAAGTCTTCACAGTAGCTTAGATTACAGGTGAGCACACCCAGCTGTAGGTGCTTTGAAAACTGCTAACCTGGCAGCCTCGTGGCACAGGCCTGTAACCTCAGCTACTGTGGGGAGGCTGGTGAAGAACTGCCAGGTTGAGATCTGCTTGGGAGACGTAATGAGACCTTGTCTCAAAAGTAAAAGGTGCCAAAAAGGCTGGGGGTGTAGTTCGGTGGTGGCACATTTGCCCAGCATGTGTTCATCCCCCAGCAATATTTCTTACCATGTATGCCAGTAATAACTTTATTTCTCCCTTTAAAATACCATCATGTGTCTGTCCCTCATTGGAAACTAAATTGCTTCTCTATCAGATAAAGGAACTTACCTAATAGACATTTTATGTCACAATACTAAAGTTCAGGGGTACTTTTTTTTTAGTGAGAATTCAGAGTCTTTCAATGATCTCTCTTTTCTAACAATGATCTCATATCAACATGGGCACATCCTTAAGTGGCAGTGTGTGTGTGTATGTGTACAGGGGTTTTATTTATGTATATATATGTATATATACACACATACACACATATGCATATACTATATATACACTAGATATATGTATGTGTGTATATATAGTGTGTGCATGTGTTTATGTGTACAGCGATTATATAGGGTGTGTGTAGATGGGTTATACAGTGTATGTGTGTGTATATAGGGATTATATAGTGTGTGTGTGTGTACAGGGGTTATATAGGGTGTGTGTGTACAGTAGTTATATATACATAGTGTGCATGTACACGGGTTATATAGGGTATCTGTGCAGGGGCTATATACATATATGTGTATGTGTGTATAGTGTGAGTTTGTGTGTGTGTGTGTGTGTGTGTGTATGTGTGTGTGCAGGGATTATACAGGCCCCAGAAATTCACAAGGGAACAATGATGTGGTAGACACAAACTCTGCAGCTCTCTCTCTCTCTCTCTCTCTCTCTCTCTCTCTCTCTCTCTCTTTCTCTCTCTCTCTCTCGATTCCCTTGTCCTTGCAGCTTCTGTTTTGGTTTGGCTCTGACTGAACTCTCTATTGGACAGGAACTTCACCTGTCTTATTTACTGATGGAGATCTGTGGTACTTAGCCCATGCCTGCATATGTAAAAGTCTGGATGTAAAAGTCATTGCTAAAAGAAACAAATAAGTGTAGCACTTACTATTGTATCTGAAATATTGACTCCGTAATGTAAGAGACTGGCAACCAAACCTGAGGTCTGAAATGTACAACATGCCAGTCTTCATGGGTAATTATAACTTCTATTACATTTTATTGTATAAAAAGCACCATCTAAAATCTTTCTCTCTCTCTCTCTCTCTCTCTCTCTCTCTCTCTCTCTCTCTCTCTCTCTCTCTCTCTCTCTCTCTCTGTATGTGTGTGTGTGTTTCCTCAGAGCACTTGCTAGTCTTGCTAGGAGACAAAGAGAAGCCGGCAGATCCAGGAGATCTACCTCTGGCTGCCATGGGAGCGAAGCCCCAATTCCTCTCTGAAGCACTGCATGGACCGCTCTACTCTTGTATTCAGCATATCATCACCCTTCAGGAAAGCAGCCAGTCTTCAAAGGACAGGGCACTGTGCCTTCGAACTTTAGCTGGAATAGGAGGGGAAGCGTGTGGAATGGTTGCCCTGCCAGCCTTGTGATGTCCTAATGCTATGTTCCACATGCTTTAACCCATTCTCGCCTCCACCCCCCCACCCTCCACGAGACACATACAGACTGTAAAAGCTTGGAAATTTAGTTATTCCTGGCCTTAAAATGATAAGAATTGATGGTTGGAAAGCTCCCTATATGTCTCTTGACCCCTAGAATTTCTGAATTTATACTGAGCCACTGAAGACAAAAAACAAACAAACAAAAAACAACAACAAAAACAAAACAAAACAACACAAATCCAAAACAGGTTTTAAAGATACTTCAGGAAAAAAAGCCAGAAAACACAAAGAGCTCCTGTCTGCCTGTCTGTAGCCTTTCATGGCAGCTGAGAAACTCTTATTTGGATAACTTCCTTTATTTAGGCCTTTCAGCCCTCAGCACCTGTCGCTAAGGTCCCTACCAGATTCCTCTTTCCTGTCTCCAGCCAGTACTCGGATTGTAGTTCTCTAGGTGGGCCAGGAGGTGGCGGCAAACACTTTTGGATGGCTGCCACACACACTGCTTTGTTCTTGTGTTCAAAGTTTGCTCATAGATTTCTCAGTGTTCAGTTTTAGTACTGTAAACGTTACTACAATGATCATGCTCTCTGAGGACCTTAAAATTGGAAATGTCAATCAAGTTGTGTACTTCAATAGCAAAAAGGACTTGTTACATTAATTAACCTAGAGGCCAGATTGTTAAAAATGTGAGTCAGACACTTGGGAGCTGGAATGTGACTTCCATAAATGCCTGCAGCATTCTTAACAAAGAAATCTGCAGAACCAGATCTAAGTGCTTGTCCTGCAGCACCAGAACCACAGCTGCCAGACCTGCAGCAGTCTTCGTTCTGACTAACACGTGAGAGGGATGGTGGTTTTATCAGCAATTAATAGTTAAGCTCTTCTTGAAGCACCAGGCATGAGGGTGATGGCTCAACAATTAATAGGGCTGGTGACACAGTCCCGAAGACCAGCATCTGGACCCAGCACTCACATAGCAACCTCGACATCCCCACAAACACCTGGACGCCCAGCTCCGAGAGGGCAGAGACGGGAGGATAGCTGCGGTTTACTGGCTTCCAGCCTAGCCCAGAAATGAGGTCCATGTTCAAGAAGAGACCCTGTCTCAATGGAATAGGCAGAAAGTCTTAGAAGAAGATGCCAGATGCACTCCTCTGACCTCTGTTTGTGCGTACTTGCACACATCCATGCACATGTATGCACATAGATATTGCAAACATGTAAAGAAATAAGTAAATAAAATAACGAAAAAGAAAATGTTTAATTTTCCCTTCTGCAACATTTAGAAATTTGATATTGCCACCTTGGGCTTATTATTACTGTTAAGTATCCCATTTACTTTTGGTTTTGGTGCATAGCCTATGAGTCCAGTTCTCAGAAGCAGTCTGCAGACTGTGCTGGCAATGAGATTCACTGATTATTCATTTGTGTAGGGTTGTCCATTCCACTTAAGCATTGCAATAAACTATTTGTTAAGTATGTTGTTCACCTAAATACAGTCAAGTGTGGTCATACCCTGAAATCAGATGACTTTTGACTAAAAAAAAAGACCTCTACATTCTTTCAAGTCCTCCCACTTTGTGGTTCTGAGGTGAGCTAGTTGGTGGACACCAAATTCACAATTTGTAGATGTTTAAGACGAACTCTCAGAGCCTGTCAAAATGCTGGCTCTGTCACCTCATCTCACCCGGGGGCTCACTTCCTTATAACTCAGCCTTTGAATGGGAAATCACTTGCAAAAGGGCTTAAAGAAAATACTAGATCAATGTCACTGGCCAAAATGTTCCTCATGATCCTGTTGTCCCTGGTCTGGAATAAGAGATGCTTTTAGGGTGCACCACAGCATGTCAGGTCAAGGCCATCATCGAATGTTCCTGCTAAAAGGGATCCTATTGTCCTCTAAGTTTACAAAATGAGCAAAAAAGAACTTGGGACAAGGATAAGCTACTTGTCTCGGGCTAAAGGTAATATCAGAATCAGAGGTAGAATAAAATCCCCCTTTGTTCCGTCCCTGGGAGCTGACAAATATAATCCCTGGGAATATAAACAGATGGCTCACACCGTAACTGGGAAGTGATGGCAGGGGAGACAAATGCCAACAAATAATGATTATTCTCTGATTTCATAATGAAAGTTTGAAAAAGGCTGAAAAGACTGTTTGAATGTTTGGGGAATGTCAAGAGATTCTATGGAAGGCGCGGAAAGAGGCAAAATCTAAGGTGGAAAGGATTTGTCATCTGGATCCCTTAGCTGAGACTGGAATGTTTCTAGGATCTCGGGGCTACTGGGTATTTTAAAACAACGGTGACAAACGGGAGACATTGGTACAAAATCAGAATGACTTCTGCCCCAAGGATCAGATGAGACGTGCTTTGAGGGTTGTCTCTGTTCATAGCTACAGCAGATGGTTATTACAGATTCATGTCTGCTGTAAAAGAAATGCCACCCCGCTGTGTATGAAGTGTGTCTGTAGATATCATCAGATTAGATGAGTTCATACTGAATCCTATGAATCTCCTTCCTTACCAGAAGAGGAGAAGAAATGGACACAGACATACACAGTGAAGATGATCATGCCCTGATGCACAAGGGCATTGTTGTCATGTAGCTGTAAGACAAGGAATACAAAGACAGCTGGAAACTCCCAGAACCCAAAGAAAAGGCACAGAATAGATGTTCTTAGACTTCTCTGCAAATAACTCAGCTTTTTTCTTGGTTCCTTTTAAAGACAGGGTCTTGGTTGCTTAGTATGGCCTTGAACTTGTGATTCTTCTGCCTCAGACTCCTTAGTGTTGGGAGTCATCATGCCAGGCTCTAGCTGATTTTTAGTGTGTGTGTATGTATGTCTGTGTAGGTCAGAGGTCAGCTGATGGGAATCAGTTCCCTCCTGACACCAGGGTTCTAGATACTGAACTCAGGTTGTTAGGCTTACATAGCAAGTGCTCTTCCCCAGCCCCGATTATGATTTTTTTTAAACACAAGAGAACTAAATCTCTGTTGTTTTAAATCCATTAGTGTATGTTAGTGAAGGAGTGAATGGGAAACTACTACTACTGTGACGGGACCACTAGGTTTGGGAGGGATTGCTGAGACAGGGGATCTGTAAGGGTGGAGAGGAGCTTGGGCCACTGAGGTGATGGATGAGGTCCCTGTTGGAGCTGTAGTCACTACAGGTGGGAGAAGGTGAAAACATTATCACAGATTGGGAGTATTTTGCATGTAGGTAGTAGCTAGAGCTGTGGCTAGGAATATGAATTCTCAGAGAGAGCAGCAGTGTGGTAAGGAGCACACTCAGCACACTCAAGGCCAAGCGTATATGGCCTTTCCTCTGTTCTCAGCTGTAAACCTGCAGTGTTCTAGGAATTGTAGCAGAAACCCCATTTACAGTAAAAGACATGCTTTAACTGTCTTGTGCAATTCTTGTGGCTGATATTTTTGCTTTGTGAGATTGTAAGCTCATCCCAAGGTACCTTTGGAGCTACCCTATACTCTCATTTACTAAAAAGAGAGAAAAGGTTTCTTAGCAACCCTTAAAATATAACATGAGATCCATGGACATGACTCTTCTTTGAGAAGCCCACGACCATTGGAGTGTGTCTTAACACTTCATTGAGAGCCCCTTTCTAGCAATCCTGTGCTTAAATATATGCTAATCTTTCTTCTAAATAAACCCCAACTCTACCTCAAGCAGGTTCATCCTAAAATCCTGTCTGCGGCCAAGTCAAGAATCCAGCCTCACCCGAGGAGCTCTGTGAGAATAAGGGAAGCCCTGGGTTGTTGGCAGCCATTCTGGGCTGCACCATCATTAACAGTTTGGAAGAACAGAGCCACACTGCTGAGCTCTCATCATGACTCGGCTACTCAGACCTCCAGTTCTGTATTCACTAATGAAATGCTTTATAACAGTTTGCCATTATTCTCACTATCCTTTCAGTATAAGCAACGGGTACAGCTGTGCAAACTCAGAAGGAGACAGGATGCCCTCCTCCTTCTGACCTAAACAGAGTGTGGCCTTAAGACCTTTGTGCTGAAGGGCCTTGCTCCTGGAGTGTTTTCCCATCAGTTCCGATTGCCCTCTTTTATGTCTTTTATCGAATGTCACTGTCTTTTCCTGACTACCCCACCCAAGGGAACCCTGGCCCCAGCTCTGGTAGGCTCTGTCCCTTACCCTGCTCTGTATTGATTTCCCAGCTATATTATTTGTTAACTGACAACACATTACAATTTTTTCTTCATGGCCAGTCCCTCACACTGACCATAAACTTAGTGGGAACAGGGGTTATTGTACATTAGTCTACCGTCTGTATTCTCTGCACCTGGAATGGACTCAGAAGATAGCTGCCATTCAGTAAGTACTGAATGCACGAGTGAGTGAACTAATCTAGCCCTCTGCGCTGCTTCAGTCCCTTTACAGCCATGGTTCTGGGTGATACCTGATGAGCACAGGATTTCTCGATAGTAGTAATGTCAGTATTTGAGGCCATGTCATTCTTTGATACAGGTTTGTTTTGTGCAGCTGTGATAGCTAATGGTTTTTGGCTTCTACTAGATGCCAATAAATAGTAGTACCTAGTCTCTGTCGCAAGTTATGAATATCAGAATGTCTCTAGACATCAGCAGACATCTACCAGGAATCAAAGGGTCCTGGGTGAGAACCACAGGGGAGGTGTCATGCTGACTAGGCTGGCATGTGTTCATTACTGTTAACATCGATAAATTACTAAAAGTGGGTGCATAGTAATGGAAAGACCAGGATGTCTAAATAAAAGGCACGTAATATTGAGTCCTTAATGAAGCTAGGAATCCCAGGCAATTATTTGATCATAATAAGCAATGGTAATTGTGGATGGAGACAAAATTATTGAATATGATTGACTTGGCTGAATTATTATATTAGACTAAGAACAAATGCAAACAAACTTACCTTGGTCTTAAATGCAGAGCTCTGGAGGCCAAAAGATACTCAATACATCAAGTGCAGGTACAAAATAATCCAAAAGACACTCAATACATCAAGTATAGGTATAAAATAACCATCTACTGACCTGAGTGGCCTTAGATTCTAACTTAAAACATGTATGCTACCTCAGATTTCCTTCAGACAGTATGCCTCTTTAAAAGTTTCAAAGCCTAAACCTGGCATGGGGGTGCCTACCTGTAGTCCTAGCACTTAGAAGGAGAAAGAGAGAGACTCAGGTCCCTAGGACAGCCTTGACTGCACAGTTACTTTGAGGCCAGCCTGGGATATGTGAGACTTTAAAAAAAGTTTTACAACCTGGGTAATTCTTTTTAGGTTTTTAAAGTCTTCTCTGTATTTTTTTTCTCTAGGAAACATTGGCAAGATAATTTCAAAAAACTTGGCACAGTGGAGCAAGAATATAATAAATAAGTAAAGAATTGAAAATTGTCATTTTATTAGTGTAATTTTAAATCAATTTACTCAAAACATGGAATTTACATTTCGAGAATTCATAAAGGTCCAGACAGATTTAAACTTTTAGGATCAGACAACAGTCTTTGGGGGACACAATGAGTTGATAGATATCACAGTACTTCGTTATTTTGGTTTAAAACTACATGTTTTATGACGCCATGCTTAAAATTTATGAAATAACATTTACCGTTTTTCCTTAAAAGCAAATAATAATTGAAATGGCTTAGAAGTCTAAATCAGTAACTGGAGACATACCTTTAGGACAAAGCAGTGGTCAGTGGGTGCTTTGTATTTCAGTTTACACTGAGTCCCATAGTAAATGTTAACATTTTCAAACTGTATAAAACACGCCAGATCTCGGGATGTCTAAAAAACAGGGAAAACAAAGTCTCTCTGAGATGGTAGTTACTAATTTCCCCAGATTCTTCTTGGTGCTGCAACAAAGGATTTCATTTCAGTCGATAAGATATGGAGTTTTAAGATAATTTATATGAACACCTTCTGCACACGGTTTCTTTAAGTCAAGCCTACATAAAAGACAACACGACAACCAGTGTTGGGGATAAAAGGTGATGTTGTGGACTCTGGGAATCAGAAACGACTGATCGTATGCTGTCGCTACTGATGCAATCACGACAAGGTGACCACTGATGGAAACTTCACTGTGACTTTGCTGTTTGAAGTCAGTGATAGGGTTTGTGATTGACAATTAGGAAATAAAAGCAAGTCCCTTCAGGATGAAGAATGAGAGCTAAATTCGATGCTCAGTAAATTAGCACACGCTCCATGCTCTTTCATGCTTTCTCCTTAGGCTGGCAGGGTTGCCATGGAAACAGAAACCTCTCCTCTGTGGATAAAACGTGTTGTGAAAATGGCAATCTCTAATCTGCATATCTGATTTCGTTTCCATTGCACATTTGTCTCACTATTCATGTTGTCCTTTCTCATGTGTTCTAGAACCCCCACCTAGTTACTGAATAAGGAATACAGGTCGGGAATGTTACACCATTCCTTTAAGCACCACAGTTAAATTTCTACAGTACACATTCTCTTTTACCAGCTTTCCCTCCTCCTGCTTTTATTCCTCCTTAGAGGTACCAGACATAAAATAGACAGATAGATTCCTAAATGTTCTTGAGTATATTTTTCTTTCATTTTATTTTATCGATTAATCATCTATCTATCTATCGGTTTAGACATAGATGAACCCTGTTATACTTATATGTATATGCTTGTCTGTACATATTATACATATATATGTATACACATATGCACATATATACACATGTTTATACATATAATTCTTTCTCAATGGGGGAATGTAACCCAAGGCCTTGTGCATGCCAGGGAAATTCTCTACTCCAAGTTCAATACAAGGATTGTAAGAGCCAAAGGCAGTGGGTGACTAAACAGTGTTTTCTGGACTCAGCAGGCAGTGGAACCTATGAACTCATTCAGTTGTGACATTGAGCTCAAGACCTCCGCAAGCTGAAGCCAGACAAAATTCCAGCATGGGGTGGGGTAAGTGGGCATAAAACTGCTGAGGGAGGGACAGTCGGTTTTCTTTAAGGGTGTGACTCATGGTGGGTCAATCATGGTCAAACACTTGGCAAGTGAAAATGGACTCAATGAATTAAAACAAATAAAAAGACAGAAATTTGGGAGGGTAGAGAAGGGAGGTAGATCTGAGAGGAGTTAATGGGAGGGAGGTGAATATGGTTGATTGAAATTCTCAAAAAAAAACCCTAATAAAACATTTAAATCTCATGAGACAACCACAAACCCTGCTTCCTGAACTAGTTCCTTATTAGGACACAGTTACTAATTTCCCCAGGCACACGAGTGACACTTTATTTTTACACAATCTTCCATTGTGTAGCTGAAACTATTTAACTACTGTACTGTAGTTGATTAATCCAGCTTTTACCATTATGAAAATACTGTGTATGTGAGTAAATATTTCTGTGGGTAGATCACCAGAGGTGCAGCTGCATCATCTTACATCCATTGCATAGGACTTGGTAAATTATTCTCAACTTGGATGTGCCCTTTTACAGTCCAGCTCTTCAGTCCCAAGCATGTCCCCCTTTCTTATCCTCTCCCATCAATGTTGTCAATACTACTGACTATCACTCTCAGGGGAGGGAGTAGTATCTGTTAACTTACTGGTAAGATGGAATAGCTTTCTCTAAGCTAATTTTGATATTGTTTCCTGGGAATCCTCACTTAATAAACTTTGTCATTTTTCTTGCACATGATTATCCTTTTTTTTCTTGATTTGTTGAAGTCTTTACATATGATGGACAGTTATATTTGGTAATAATGTCTTGTTTGGTATCTTCATCCATAAGGGATTTAAAACAACTTTATATAGTAGACGCTGTCAATTTTCTCCTTTGTAATTTTGAATCTTATTCTTGATTAAGAAATGTCTTTGCCCAAAACAATACAGAGAAACCCTGTCTCGAAAAACCAAAAAAATGTCTTTGTGCCCTAGAATTATGAAATTATCAACTCATATTTTCTTTTATGGTATTAGAGTAGTTTTTCTAAAGACATCTTAATTAAACTAGGATTTGAGTTGGTTCATTGGCTGGAGTGGAAAACTTTAAAAAATGGGTGTACAATTACTTCAATAATAATGTACAATTACTATCTTGAATTCTTCATTGTTTCCTCACTTCTGTAGAATTCTGGCTTTAAATTCCCTACACTAGTTCGCTCTTTGTAGATCTGTTCATTTATAACTGCTTTCTCTTCATTGTAATCTAATGTTTAACCTCCAGGACACAGAATTTTAGATCAGTGTTCTTCACAGCTTTTGGGGGGAATCTATTTGGGGACAGCATTTCTTTCTGACTAATTTTGCAGTCAGCCTTTGTATTTTAAGTAAAAAGAACATAACTGTAATTTTCATAGGTTGATAAGACCAGTTTCTTTGTAAAATTTTCTAGTGTATGCAATATACATCCCGAGCATTTTTGTTCATTACTGTATATTCTACCCTTGTCACACCTGTTCTGCACAGAATCTTGAATCATGCTTCATTTGTATATTGCTTGCATAAAGTAAAAGGATTTCTTCATTGGCCAGTTTGTTTGGGCAGTCACTTTCCAGGCGAGTGTTTCCTATTGTGGAGACAAGCACGCCTGTTGTGAACAATGTGCTTTTGTCTCTTTTCCCAATGATTGTACTTCTGACTTTCCTCTGACCTCCATTCAGTGTTCTTGGCAATGTTGAGAGAAGCTGCCTAATTCTAAGATGAATGCAGCTTGTACCACTCAGTGAACTGTCTGCCCTAGGCTTATTTATATGTCTTATATTTAACTGCTTAGGGCATATATACTGCAAAACAAAACAAATCACCTGGGCCATGTTGCATGTCCTGTGGGGCAATGTTGCATTGTCCAGTGTGGGACTGGAGCAAAGGTAGTAGAGGTAGGAAGTATCATGTCTAGGATTCACACCTACAGAGTAAAAAGGCTAAGTGGGGCAACATCAGCCTCCCATCAAGAGTTACCCATAATGGCCACAGAGATAGTGGGGTTGCCTTACTAGTGATGCCACCTGCTTGGGAATGTGGGATAAACCTTATTAGAGGAAATCTGCAATCCAGAAACATGTCATTTGGCAAAGCCCTACATTTGGTTTACCCTAGACAGGAGTATATTCTAAAGCTTTTTATAGGTGAACAAAATGAACTGTCACAACTCTCCAAGAAAAGTGTCGGCCAAGATTAAAGGTCAGAGCCACTGTTAAAATTAGATTTAGAATAACAATTTACTATGCAGATTCGAGCCAATAATCCCAGCTTGGCAAGCAAAACTTGGATGGCATCTAAGATGCACTGGTAAATTAAAAGGCATATGAATTCAGTAAGCCTCTGGGAACAATTCGACTGTTCAGAATGTAAGATTTGAAATCCAATGCAGATCTCAAGACTTCAGAATGTAAGACTTAAAACCCAATGCAGATCTTGAGACTTGTAACGCCACTAAGATTTTAGATAAAATAAGTTTGATCATAATGACTCTAGAACAAGGAGGCTAATGTGAAGGACAAAATATTTCAGAATAGAGTCGGTCAGGAGGCAACTTTACCTGCTGGGCCATCCTGATAGTCCATGACTTTAAAATATAAAATTTTATTTTCATATTCAGGAGAAAGCTGTGGGAAACTCAAATGTACTTCAATAACATCATATTGTAGGACATATATTTGTGTATACTTTGTAAACCACAGAATCCATGGGACCAGGATGTAGCTAAGATTGTCTCCCCCTTAAGTATCTCTGTCTCACCCTCCTGAGATGTGTCCTCGCATAAGTGCCGGTTTGATTTTTCACTGTTACCATCTTCCCTTGTGATTGTGGTAGTTTGTGCTGGGAATGGTCCCCAGAGGGCCATATGCTAAGGCACCACTGGGAGGCAGTAGAGACATCAGGAGCTGGGGCTGGTTGGGCGTTCCCAGAAGGGGCTGTGGGACTCTGGCTTCTCCTTTTGCTTCTGCCCTGAGAATGCCTTCCTCTGCCATTTCCCTGCCTTACCACAGGTTCAAAACAATAGGTTCATTTCCAAAACTGAGCCAAAATAAACCTGTATTTAGAAAAATTACTTCTTTTAATTTTTGAGATTGTAATTATGTCATTTCCCTCCTCCATTTCCTTCCTCCAAACTTTTCCATATACCCATCCTTACTTTCAAATTAATGGCCTCTTTTTCTTTAATTGAAATACGTGCATGCACACACATATATGCATACACACACACACACACATATATTTCTAAACACAACATTCTCAGTTTGTGTAATGTTATTTCTATGAGGTTTTCAGGGCTGACCATTTGGTACTGGATAAACAGTTGTTATGCTCTTCTCTGGGGAAGAACTGACTGACCTTTGTCTTTCCTTTGGGAACATAATAAATTCCAGATGCCCTCAGAAGAAAATAGCGCCGTTTCCAGGATTTTTTCCCGTCTTCTTTCAAATAAAGAGCTCCTTCGAGTTCTGGTACAATGATGGATGTGCCACAGAAACTTTCCTGAAAGTGGAAGTCAGAGGCATAAGACACACATTCTGTTCACATTGAAAGAGTAATCCCAGTTTAGGTCAATCCTGTTGGAGCTGGATTGAACACGTTTCCTTTATATGTTGTCTGCCAGCAGGAGGAAAGAAGACAGAGTGTCAAAAGTCCAGGAGCCTGGGTTCTGTGTCAAGGCTTTCTGGCCACTGGCTCTGACCTATGGATCACTAAATCTCAGTCCCTGTTTTTGTAAAAATGAAGTAATAGTTGGATTTTGGTTGTGATTATAATCTTATTATATTGTAAAGGCAAGCACCCAATAAAGCCTTTTAATGCTGTGTTTAACTAGCCAGGCATGGTGGCTTCTGCCCATCCCATAATTTCAGCACTTGGGGAGGCTGAGGCAGGAGAATTGCCATGAGTATAAGTCTAGCCTGGGTTAGTAAGTTCCAGGCAAGCCTGGCGTATACAATGAAACTATCTCAAAAAACAAACCAAAAGGGAGAATTAATATTTTATTGCCATTAACTAGTAAAATGATATAATTCTACAATAAAATAAATTTGCATTTTATTTTATTTTTAAAAGGATTTTTTACTATTTATTCTTACATCTGTTCAGTCCCCAAATTGGCATTTTTTATTGGATGTTTTCAAACATGATAAAGGCCATTACTAACTGATACTATAATAAACAGGAAAAAACACATTTTTCTAGGTATAGATTTTTAAAATGTAAAACTTGTATGGAAATGTGCAAATCTTAATAAATTTCTTTTTAAAAAGCACTTGGATAAATTGCATATTATTCTATCTTTTTGTTTGGATACTCAATTATTTATTTTCCTTTAATATTATAATTCTTAGTATAGATTTAATTTTGCATTGTTCAGAGTAAACCTCTGCACAGGAGAGCCAGGAGAACAGCTCTGAGTACATTTCTTCTAGCAACCCTCCAGTTCAGAGAATAGTTGGCTTGTCAATCATCTATTAAGATTATCTGAATTTTTGGCCTAAAGCTGACAGAACAATGCATAACTTCCCATAACATAGCAGGTCTTGTATTTTCATTCACATTCAGCTATATATGGTTTTGAAATCTAATCCATATATAGCTGAATGTGAATGGGGACACCTGGTGTTTTTTCATCATTCTAAAGCAATGGTCGTCAACCTTCCTAATGCTGAGAACCTTAATACAGTTCATCATGTTGTGTTGACCCCCCCACCATAAAATTATTTTCATTGCTACTTCATAACTGTAATTTTGCTATTGTTATGACTCATAATGTAAATATCTGATATGCAGATATATTTTAATCGCCACAAATTGAGCATAATTAAAGCACAGTGATTAATCACAAAACAATATGTAAAATAACTTTAATAATTCAAAAGATATGCGGCATAGTTCAGGCAATACAGTTCTTTAAAGTTTCTATGATTTGCTAGTATTCACATCAACCACAAGTGAATATAAAAAGACCGATTAGCATCCAGATTAAGTTCTCATATATATGGGAACACACACACACACATTTTGCAATAGTTGCCAATCTTACAGTACATGATTTTGCATTTACTCAGTAATTAGAATTCATGAGTTGTCATTTTACCTTCAATATTGCTGCTTTCAGCACAGTGGCTGATCTCTACACGTGTTATTGATTCATATAAATACATTATGGTGCCAATCCTATGACAGACACCTGTATGTTTAGGTTGTATGTGATGGGTTTGGAGTGATAATGCCTTTATGTACATGGGCAGACCCTCCTGGAGATGGATAGAGGAGCATTGTCTCAGATCCTAAGGCCATCAGAAATGTGTTTCACAGTGGTCTTAGGTCCCTGTGAAAGGGTCATTCAACCTCAAGGCTGAGAACCACTGGTCTGGAGTCTAGTGCTGGAAGCAGAAAGCACATCTCATCATACATCTCATTCCATAGAGCCCTTCTGAAGCAGAACATACATGTCACAGCAAATTTTATGATGATTCATGTCCTTTTAGTGAAGAATTACTAATTCAATTTCATAAAAGCAAACTATTTTGTCTAAAGTAGTACTTCCTTACAGCTGACTCAAAAAAACATTGAATTATTTAAGTGACTATCATTTGGTAATAATTAGAATTTACAACCAATTTTATGGAGTGTTTCAGAATTTTCCATTGTTATGTGAGCAGGTAACTTAACAGACCCAGCAAATGTCCTTTTGCATTTATTGCACTTTGCAAAGTGAAGCTTACCTCAAGTAAGGATTCTTTGTTTTTAGCATTCATTTTCTCATTGATTTCCTTGTTTTCTTTTTTCCCCTTGTTATCCAAGTAGAAATTCTAGATAAAACATTGAGAATTTGGATCACCAAGTATTCATTACTACAACGGATACTGCAAGGAACTTGTAATCTTGCTGGAGAGAGAAGACTTCTATGTAAGAACAAAAAAAAGAAAAAAGAAAAAAAAAAAGAACAGAACTGTAGCAACTCTATTAGTGAAGCAAAAGGAGCAGCTTCTGCATCACCCAGGCTCAAGCAGAATCTTCATTCCTTCCCAGAAAGCAGAACAGAAAATATTAGCAAAGGGTATGACCCCATCTTATTGTTAATTTCCATATGCCATGAACCTCGGTGTCAAATACTGAGAGCTGAGGGGCACTCAGGAGAAGCCCAGGGCTGGGGTGAAGTTTGAACTTTTGTCCAAGTTCAGCAGGAGAACGACTCTGGCCAATGAGTACAAGTCCTCAGAACTTAGGGCTTGATGTTTGTTTCAGGTGAGAGTTAGGACGTACCCTCTTACCATGCAGCACATGGGTGTTATGGACAATAGTAAGAGGGGGTGTCAGAGGATAAAGAGTGGGACACCTGGCTCCTGATATGAGGTGCTTGTCATGTTAGTTACGAAAGACTGAATTCAAAAATGGTGCTGGGAAGGCCAGGAACATTTTTGTTCTGAAGGGTGCCTAGGGCCACACTGAGGAAAAGGACCACAAGGTAGGACCAGTCTCCTGGGTCTGTTTGGGACTGGCCTCTGCGTTATCTCATACAGATGCCAACAAGAAAGAAGGCTTCACTTGGGAGAAAATGCACCTACAGACTATTTGGAGAATCTCAACCATGAATCTGCTAAAGCTCTGTGACGTCAAAATTCTCTATAGGTTCTTTACATTATTTTGAATTAAATACAACCTCATAAATGGCCACAGAAAGATCATTTGTCCTACATGGATGGTAGAGAGCATGAGTTATCTATTATTAATTCTTGTATCCCAGCTGGCCGTGGGCCTTGAATAGGCCATTTACTAACCATTATTCACAAACAAAATAAAGGAGCAGTCTGTACCTAAGGATGCATGTCCTCTTCTGTTAGAAACTGCTGTGTAAACTTTGAAGCCTACAGGGATTATTATTACTATCAGTTGCATTGTTTGTTTAGTAGTAAGAGAGAAAGTGCGACAAGGTATGGTAGTTTTAATGTAATTGGCCCCCATAATCTCATAGTGAGTGGCACTATTAGGAAATACGGCTTTGTTGGAGTGGGTATGGCCTTATTGGAGGAAGTGTGTCAATATGGGGGTGGTCTTTGAGATTTCCTTTTTCACCCAGTGTTTCAGTGGGCTTTCTGTTGCCTGCAAGATGTAGGACTTTTAGATACTATGTCTGCTTGCACACACACTGCCATGCTCCCCACCATGATGATAATTGTAAACAGAAGTTTCTGTCTCACTGAGTCCACAGTCCTTTAGTCCCAAATAGACACACAGAAGCTTATATAAATTATAAATTGTTTAACCTATTACTAACAAGCTCTTACAACTTAAATTAACCCATAATTCTTATCTGTGTTTAGTCACATGGCTTGGTACCTTTCCTCAGTAAGGTATTCTCATCTTGATTTCTCCGTGTCTGGCTGCAATTCACTCTCTGTCTTGCTCTTCCCAGAATTCTCCTAGTCTGGTAGCGCTACCTATACTTCCTGCCTGGCTACTGGCCAATCAGCGTTTTATTTATTTTTTATTTATTTATTTATTTATTTGGTTTTTAGGAGATAGGGTTTCTCTGTATTGTTTTGGAGGCTGTCGGTCCAGCCTAGCCTCAAACTCACAGAGATCCGCCTGCCTCTGCCTCCCGAGTGCTGGGATTAAAGGCGTGTGCCACCACCGCCCTGCCTAATCAGTGTTTTATTAAACCAACATGAGTGACAAATCTTTACAGTGTACAAGAGTATTATCCCACATCAGATAAAGGACTAAACCTCTGAAACTGTAAGTGAGCAACCCCAATTAAACGTTTTCCTTATAACTGTGTTCATGGTGTCTCTTTACACAATAGAAACCCTAGCTAAGACACAAGCTAATGCTGATCTGGGTCATCATTTGAATTGTATACAGATTCTACACTAATTATTGAATTGCATCTATTGACTGTGAAATCCCTGAGAAAAGACCTTCTTTCCACAGAGTTTGTTTATAGATCATGAGTGTACCTATACAGTTAGGATTACTATCGTCTCTTGACCCTAGTATTCTACTGCTTAACCTAGTGGAATGAGAACTGTCACACTATGGTTATATTAGTACATTCATTTGCATTCAATACTTGTTTAGCTATTACTCTTATGGCATTTGGAATGGTTACTTTATTTTGAGGCTTGCATGTTCCATTAATCTGGTGTTTCCCCAATTAAAGTGAAGTGGATGTTTATTTTTTTTAAAGGTAGGGGAAAAGAATGGGGCTGAAGAGATGGCACAGCATTTAAAAGTGCTTACTGTTTTTGCAGAAGCACTAGGTTCAGTTCATAGCACCTATATCAGATGGTTTATAACCATAAACATCTGTGACTATAGTTCTAGAGGATCTGATGCCCTCAGGTCTCAGAGGGTACCTACATAGACAGGGCTCACACAAACTCCTGAGGTGTATACACACACACACACACACACACACACACACACACACACACACACACACATACACACACACTAAATTAATATTAAAAGCAAGAAAAAAAGGATAGACTTAACAGCAGCTTATCTTAAAAGTCATTAAGACCAACAATTAACAAACAGGACTTCATAAAGTGAAAACACTTCTGGATAGCAAAAGATATCATCATTCAAGAAAAGAGGCAGCCTACAGAATGGGAAAAACCTTAACCAGTCATATATCTGGCAGAGCGTTAGTATCTAGACTATACAAAGAACTCAAAAAAGGTAAACAACAACCAAAAAACTAAACATCAAGAAAACAAAGACCTAGTTATAAAACAGGGCTTGAAATAAAACAGAGTTCTTAAAAGATGACACACTAACAGCTGATAAATATTTAAAAAAGTGTTCAACATTCTCAGTCATCAGGGAAATGCAAATCAAAACTAATGTCAAGAAAAATATATGACAGCACACACTGGTGAGGATTCAGGGAAAGGGCAACATTTATTCACTGCTGGCAGGAGTGTGGCCATTATGGAAATTAGTTGGGGTTCTTCTAAAAGCTGAGAAAAGACCTACCATAAAATCCAGCTATGCTACACTTGGGGATATACCTAAAGGTTTCTGTTCCTCATTACAGAGAGACTTGCTCATTCTTGTTCATGGGTGCTCTGTGCATAATAGCCAGGAAATAGAAATACCCAAGATGTCCATAAACTGATGGATAATGAAAATGTGGTGTATTTGTGCAATGAACTATTATACAGCTGTTTAAAAGTATAATTTGCAGAAAAATAAATGTCCTGAGTGAGGTAACACAGACCCACAAAGACAAACATTGTATGTTTTCTGTCATATAGGAATGTTAGCTTTTAAGCTTTGGATATATGTGTTTTGTTCAGAATACCAACCCAGGTTAGGTAACTAGTAAGGGACCATGGGGTGGAGGGGCTCTTTCAAGGAAGGGGAAATAGAATACAGTGATATAGAGACATAGAAGAGAGAAGATTAAATGGAGTGGAGGATAGGAGGGCAGGCAAGAGGAGATAATATGGGAGGGGGATAACTAATAATAATGTCTTTTTGAAAAAAATGTGAACACCTTACTATTGTAGGAGCTTACTAAAACATATACATATATAAAAGGAGCTTAAATGGAGTTATTCTATACCGTGGGGGATAATACCTCAACCAGACCAAATAAAACACCTAGTACCAAGAATGGATTGCATATTTTTGAGTCATTGGCCAAATACATCCCATATGTGTTGGTCGGTTGCCAATGCTATTGGTTACCTCCTAGCATTTGACAGTAAAACTCTATTGCTAAAGACAATAATTGAGTCATAGAACATGGAGAAATCTAGCTCAACCGGAAGCTTCATCCCTACTGACCAATGTTCATAGTGCTGGAAGGTTCTAGACACACTACTGAAAGAGAAAAGTAGTCCCCAATCCCATTCAACTTTGAACACTGTGAGCTACGATAATTATTTGCCTGGCAAGATATGCCCTCTGATCCAATAGTGGCACGAATGCTATGGGAGCAACCAGCCACTTTTGATTGGATTTAAGGCCTGCTTTACAAGATGAGACATTGATGATGAAGTCAAGAACCTGAGGTTAGACAAGTAGTAGGCCCTATGGGAAAAGCTACTACTATTATTTTGCTAAATTGGCATAGCAATAAAACAACTCCTTATAACATTCTGCTATGCCCATTCAGTGTACCACTCAAATCCCATAAGAGAAGATTCTTCTTATAGTAAATGGTAGCCAACACTGAAATGCACAACTGGTCAATGTGCAGAGAATTAGAGACTTTGGAATGTTCAGCTCTGAAAGGGATGTCTATGTTATACCCTTCCCATATAAGCTCAGGGAGCTGTGTGCAAGAGAGGACAGAGAGATCGTAAGAGCCAGAGGTGGTGAATAACTTCAAGGAAACAGTGTTTTCCAGACACAACAGGGGAGATGCACACATGGAGTCACTGAGACTGTATCATCAGTATGCACAGGACATGCCCAAGCTCAAACCATACAAGATCTCAGTGTGGAGGAGGGGAGGTGGGCATGAAGCCCCACTCCTAGCTAAGGAACTATTGGCATTTAATTGTTGTCAAGAAAGTGCCTTAGTTTGTTTTCTACTGCTATGATGACAGGGAAAGTCAATTTCCTTCAGTACAGTGACACCTGGCATATCAATCTTTTTTTTTTGAGAGAGAGAAAGCAGTGGGTGGTGGGAGAAAGAGAAAATCAAGTTCTGTGGGTAGCGAGTTGAGGGAAGATCTGGGAGGAGTTGAGGAGAGGGTGAGTATTATTAGAGTATATTGTATGAAATTATCAAAACACAAAACATCTTTTAAAAGGCTACTGAAGAGAAAGAGACACAGCCTCATTTATTACAAGCAAAACATCTCATGGCTTGACTTAGGTTCATCCAAGGCTTTTTCAGAGGCTTTGATGAAAGGACAAAATGAATCTACTTCTGTGCCCTTGTCCAGGGTTAGATTTGGTAAGGTCCATTCTAGGGGTTAGGGTTTTGGTTCCTGGTAAACTGCCTTTTCCCCCTGTAGAGACTTAAGTTATCAGCTCCTGGGCTGTGTGTTTGATCTGTGATGCAATTGGAATATCCCATGTTCCTTTTGTCAAACACTGCTTGATTAGCCTCCTGTTAACTTTGTCCCATTGTATGATAATGTCACACTGACTCTGTCCCATTTTCCCTTACAGATTGTAGATAAGATGCTGTACTTCTTAATAAACTTGCTTGGCATAAGACGTAGCTTGGACAAGACCTCCTGAGCCCAGACTTTCCTATTTTCTTTATATTCTGATTCCCCAGTTTCTCCTTTCAGTAGCTGGTCACCTGCTTGATGGTCAAGGTCATTGTACAATGATCTACAGCAGGACTCACATCATGAGTGGCTACCAGAATATATTTGTTGGACAACCTTGATTTAAATAAAACTGGCTTGTCATGAAGTCAATGCAATCATTTTCAAAAATAGTAATTCCAGTTCACTTGAATGATATCATAGTATTCCACTTAAAAACGTATTATTGGGTTTTTCATGACATTAAGGAATGCCACCTCCAGACCTACTGGAGATGGGTCTTATAATTTGTTCCAACATTGGCAACATTATTGTCACTGCCAGCACAGAGGAAGCTTTAGCTCAGATGCCCACAAGTGGCAACTGGTTAAACCATGTTCAAACTGAACACTAATAGAACTGTGTTTATACCTCTGTATTTTATACATCATTTCCTTGACTTTAACTTCAATATAACTTGCCATGTAGGGGATGATGGTGGTGGAACATTCCAGACCATTTTTTGTGTAGACTGGTGTGAATCTACAATCGTAAGTGAGCCGTGAAACCAGATTTGTTGTGAATTTTGTCTGTAACCCTTCACTGGTTTATTACCTGCTAACTTCCTTCATTGCAGGACAGGGTTTATAATAGCATCCACTTTCATGGACCTGCCTCACTGTTGAAGATGATAATGACAAATGCTATTATTTAATAACAGATACAATAGCTTTATAAAGCTAAGGACAGTTAACAGTGGGGAAGTCCAGGCTATTCACAGTAAGCCACATCCAAAGCTTCTGGTGTATATATGAAGCCTCTTCAAGGATACACTCACATTAGTGTCTACATCTTTAACCTCTATTTCTAAAACTTATCTGCTGGGATAATGGTTAAATTCTTTCACAATTGCTTTCCCACTCCTTAGAAATAGAGGGCAACCTGCACACCCATAAGAACCTTACTGCTCTGGCTTGTGAAGCTCAAAGGCCAGAACAAAGGAATCACTTGAAACACTGTCTTGGAACAGTGGAAGACTCATAAAAACCCCTTGTTTGAAAGTCAAGTGATTTCTAATGCTTTGCTTCCCTCACAATGGAGAGTACCTAATTATCTTGTCACTCAGTGGCTGAAAAGAACCATCATTGAGCCTTCAGTGGCTTTTAGCTGACAACCTGGAAGGAGTTCAAAGACCTGAATGGTGTTTTTCTATTCCCATCCATTTATTAATATGAACACATTTTCCTAATGTTTTCTATCTGTAAAAAATAGTTAACACCTGTCCTGGCTAGTTTTTTTAAGTCATGGCTAGTTTTTTTTTAAAATATTTATTTATTTATTTATTTATTTATTTATTTATTTATTGTCAACTTGACACAAGCTGGGGTTATCTGGGAAGAGGACCTTCAGGTGAGAAAATGCCTCCATCAGATTGTCTGTAGGCGAGTCTGTAGGGTATTTTCTTTAATGATTAAGGCTAAGGGCCCAGTACACTGTGAGTATGGTATCCTTAGGCAAGTTGTCTGAGGTGGTATAAGAAAGCAAACTGAGAAAACCATGAAGAACTAACCAGTAACCACCATTCCTTATGGTCTCTGCTTCAGTTTGTGCCTCCAGCTTCCTGCCGTGAGCTCCTGCCCTGACTTCCTTCAGTGATAGACTGTGATCAGATGTGATGATGGACTGTGATCAGATATGTAAGCCAAATAAAGCTTTTCCTCCCCAAGTTGCTTTTGGTCATGGTTTTAATCACAGCAATAGAAAACAAACTAAGACGTTGTCTATAAAAATAGAAAACAGGAGGATAATTGATTCAGAACATTCATTGATTAATTTTGGAATTAATTAGGAGTGACCTGCCTATAAGACAGTGCAATAGTGGCACAAATCTTGTAGGAGTAACCAACCAATATTTGATTTATGTTAAGGCTCATTCCATGAGATTGAACCCAGCGCTCCTTGGGTGGCCAAGAACCTGAGATTACATAGGTCAGGGACCTATGGGAAAATCAAATACCACTGTTCTGCTAAAGGAACATAGCAACAAAATGACTCATAATGACACTGCTATACTCATAGATCTGTGCCTTGCTCAGTCATCATTAGAGAAGTTTCTCTCTGCCACAGATGGAAACAACATACAGAGACCCACAGCTAGGCAATATGTAGAGGGTGAGAGACCTTGAAACATTCAGCCCTAAATGGGATGTTTCCATCAAATCCCTCTCCTCAGGGCTTAGGGAGCTATGTGGAAGAGGCTGTAGAAAGAGTATAAGAGCCAGAATAGGCGGACAACACTAAGGAATCAAGGTCTTCTAGACACAACAGAGCTGGCACACATACAGATGCATGAAGGCTGAGGCAGCATGCACAGGGCCTGCAAAGGTCTTCACCAGAGGGGGTCTTAGAGCTGAAAGGAGAAGTGGACACATACCCCCATCTCTAGCCCAGAAGCTACCCCCAACTGATAGCCACTTGCTAATGAAAAAGTTGTCTCCAAGGAAGTCTCATTGGGAAAACAAACTACTAAGTACAGGCCCCATAGCAAGCAGTAGATGGCCAACGCAAAACAACTCAACAGCATCTTTGGAAATTCTTTGACTCAGTGTTAAGTTAGGGCTACTTTTCCCCCATTCTACTTTACTGGTACTTTGTGTATATATTATGGCTTCCAGTTTTCCATTTTTTAAAAATGGGAATTCTGTGTATGCAAGCAAGTGTGTCTCTGCATCTATATGTGATTCTTGTGACTTTTCTTTGGCTCTTTTCTTATCTGGTTGTTTTGTCATAGTTTAATTTATTTTTTAAGAATTAATTTACTGCCGGGTGATGGTGGTGCATGCCTTTAATCCCAGCACTCAGGAGGCAGAGGCAGGCAGATCTCTGTGAGTTCGAGGCCGGGCTGGTCCGACAGCCTCCAAAACAATACAGAGAAATCCTGTCTCATAAACAAACAAACAAAAAAGAATTAATTTATCTTATTTCATTATTATTCCCTAGATGCCTATTTGTTTTCTAATGAGCAACAGAAAAGGGTATGAATCCAGATGAGAGAGGATGTGGGGAGGAACTTTGAGGGGAAAAGGAAGGGGAAACCATAACTAGAAAATATTGTGAGTTCAAAGCCAGCCTGTGCTCCATAACAAGATCTTTACTCATAAAGGGGGTGGGAGTTGAGGAAGGAGTCACCTGATAAATATGTGAGGTGGTATATGGGTACAGACATAGAAGTTTGAGCTTCATTTGTAGACGTAGCCACCACTGGAGGTTGGCCATAATGGCTATATGAGAATAGATGAAGTAGCAGAGGAAGGAATATAAGGATTCAGGCATTATGCTGGCCTGTCCCTGTCACTTGGCAGAATGCACTCAGGCAGTACCCTGGTCAGCCTTGGTCATGCGTAGTCTACACGCAGGTGTAAAGGACCCCTTTAAAAGAAAGACCCCGCCCACTTACGCTCTTTTCTAGCTTTCCCCTTCTCTCTTTCCTGCTGTCCCCTGGGGGCAGACAGGACTTTTCCTGTCTCTCTCTTCTGTTCTCTCTCTGTCTCTGTGTCTCTTTTCCTCTTTTCTCTTTGCTTCCTCCTCCTTCCCCTTTCTAATAAAACTTCTCACTTAAGCTCTGTCTGCCTGGCATGCTTGTCCCTCCTCCTCGGTCACCCTCGTCTGCCATGGAATCCGCCAAGGTCCCCTCGTGTTTTATCATAACAAGGAGGTCTACTGAGATGGAGAGGAACACCATAGCTACAGGTAAGGACAGAGATGACAGAGATAGAAACCCAAAGGAGCCAAGATGCTTGTATGGTCTCATAACACTCAGTAGCCTTGTACCCAAGCACGGTACATGGCTAGCTCACACACTGCCGATGCCTTCAGGAATGAGGCTAGAACAATAGCTTTTGAGGAGATCTGAGGTGCTCTTAAATGGAATAGGGTGCGACAATGACGCTCAGCAGGGCCATCAGCACACACCCCATTTTTCTCCATTTTCACACGGGGGTCACCTGTTATCGATTCCCAGTCAACAGAATTCTCCCCGCTCCACAGTTAAGCATCTTCTGTCCTGCAAATGTGCAGACCCTGGTTTCTCTCCACAAGCTTATAATTGATTGTGGCTAACTCTATCGGAAATGAGTACTGCATTTGGGTGAGATCAAACCACCTTCCTCCCATCCATCACCTTAATAGTAAATCAAATGGATTTCACGCTGCAGTGGCTTCTTTAGGGCAGGAAGAGCAGCTGTGGCATCATTACAAACTGAGAAGCAGAACGCCAGTGCTGTCAGAGGACACACTGAAGTAACATCGTCAGCACCAGACACCAGAGAGCCAGCTACACAGTCTCTTTTCTGGCCATCGGTGAGTGCCTTGGACTTAGGCCTGAGTAAGCACACGACGAACAAGTGCTGGAAAATCCTTCCGCTGTTGTTTCTTGGAATTGTGCTCAAAGCTTCCCTTAACATGTGTTTTAATGCCTCTGGGACGTAGACACTGTTTTCTTTTTAAAAGGTTATTTATTTAATTAGTGTGTGTGTGTGTGTGTTTGTGTATGCTGTAGGCCACATTGTGCAGGTGTGTGGGATTCAGAGGACAACAGTCAGGAGTCAGTCCCCGCCCCTCCTCCCCCACCTTATGGGAACCAGGGGTCAAATCAGGTTGACAGGCCTGAGTATAGGTGTCTCTAACCCACTGGGTGTCCTGTTTGCCTTTTCCCCACCCCTACTCTCCCCTGTCATTTCCTCTCCTCTCCATCATTGTTTTCTCTTTTAATTACAATTTTTAAGTACACATATGAAGGAACAGGTTTCATATGACACTTTCATTCATGTAAGAAATTATTATTTGTTATTATTCATACCCTTCTCCCCTGCCCCACTGTCCCTGTCTTCCTCTTGCTGGTCTCTTTCCACCCCACATATAGTCTTCCTTCCGTTTTCATATCACCTGTATAATATGACTAATCTTTCTTGTTAAACCTAGATTCAGAAAGAAAGACAGCCAGTATTCATCTTTCTCTGCTTCCTGGCTGCGGATAATTTTTACAACCTAAGGAAATGCATAGCTTCAGTCTTAAATTGCACACTGTCTTCCATGTCCTGCCCTCCTAGAGTAATACATCTGTATTAGCTGCTGAAAACAGCAAAATTGAGGGTGAAAAAAATCGTATAAAATAAATAGTCACCATAAATGTTGACCACAACACACAACATTTGATATTGATTGTAAATAGTGATGTTTGTGATACTGATTGTTATCTGCATTAGTTGGAGTAAGTTACTTGACCCTTCTCAAAACTCTGCAAAGTGTCTCTCATTCCTTCCCCATGTGATACCTTCTGTGCTGTTCAATAAAGATGGAGCAAATCCATCTGATAGAGACAGACACAACGGAGATACTGGGGACAGACACAAATACAGACACAAGGACAGAGATACAAAACAGCCTTGAGGCAAACACAGATTCAGACCCATACCACAGATAGAAGACAAAAGACACAGGGGATATAAAGTAGAGAATTCAGATTTGGACTCCCTCTTGATTAAATGACACTGAAAGGTAATGCTTTTATTTCTTTCCTTAATGTGAAACCAATGCCTTATTGTAGGCATCTGGTCTGTGGACCTGAAAAGGCAGCCACATCCCTTTGGGTGTGGTTTCAGGCAGATGGAAGCTGAGAGGAGCTTGAGGTGGCTTGCCTTTGTGCACTCTTTTCTGGTGGGTCAGCGGATCTGGTAGGAAGAGCAGGGAAACGCTCTGGCAGTTCTTTGTGTTTTTCTGTGTAATTGTCGGCAATAAGCATCCATTTATCATTTATCTTGGGTCTAGTGATATAATTACATCCTCGCTTTCAAATGGCACCCAACATGGGGCCTGAGCCCAAGGCCCTGAGATTAAGAGTCTCATGCTAAACCGACTGAGCTAGCTGGAGATAAACTTAAAGAAGACTGCTGAACCCTGCCAAGTCAGGGTAAGACAATTTTTCAATATCCCTGCTTCTGAGATGGTCCATTTGATACTTTAGGCCTTAGCCAAAGTTGGTTGTCTTGCTGTGAGACCTTGGGCGACTGTCCAGGTATCCTGCTGTTTCTGTTCTTGCTTGCACCTTTGGAAGTTGCATGCCTACACGACCAGCCTCTTCTAGTATTATTTTCCTTCTCAGGTCTTTGATGAGGTTGAAGACTAGATAGTCATAGCCATATCCTTTCTTATCTTAGACAGACAGATTTAGACTTTCCAGATTAGGACTGCTATCAGAGTAATCTCTGTCATACCTTTACCCTGATACTGGACATGTAGTATATATCTATTGCTTAATGTTGGTCTTGCTGATAGTAGGTTTTAATTTTCATATGTCTACTTTTCTTTTTCCTGGAGTATACTTGACATTTGTTATCATTGTATATAGTTTTTGCATCAGGATTAAAACCTTCTTCTTTAGACTAAAAGGGGAATTGTAGGGATCTGGTCTGTGGACCTGAAATGGCAGCCATATCCTGTTGGGTGTGGCTTCAGGCAGATGGAAGAAGAAAGAGAGGAGTTTGAGCTGTGGCTTTGCTTTGCACTCTTTTCTAGTAGGTCAGTGAATGTGGTAGGAAGAACAGGGAAATGGTCCAGAGGTTCTTTGTATTTTTCTGTGTAATTGTTCCCCAATAAACAACTGTTTATCATGTCTCTTGGGTCTAGTGATATAATTGCATCCTCGCCTCCACCTTATTGGTGACTTTGCGTTTATTATTAAGTTGTTCAAACTAACCAGAAAAAGCAAGACCAATGGTTGCTAAGACTAAACCAATAGGAAGTTTCATACAATGATAAAAGGAAAGCAAACCTAAAGAATATCCAGAAAATTCCTCATCAGCATTTGCCATAGCTAAATAGAAACAGAATCTATGTCCCAGTAATTTCATTCGTAGGTATATGTGCAAATCTGTCTATGTTCTGCTAAAAACATATATGAGCATTACAAACTGAAAGTTTGCCAACAACACAATGACTAAAAATATTTTGGTTTAGTCACCTGATAGAATACTAAATGGCAGAGAGAAGAGTAAACTGAAGCTATAGGCATCAATGTGAATGAAAGTTGAGTAGGAATAAAATCTAAACATGATTTCATTTCACAAAATAAGGGAAAAATAAAGGAAAAGTAAGGAGATGAAGATGTGAATACTGACTGCCACTATGGTGGGAAGCAAATACTGGGAAAGGCCCGGAGTCATCAATGCCTGCATCTGGAAAGCATGGATTGAAGGGAAGTATTCACTTCTTAAAGTCCATAGATTATACTGTTAGACTGTGACAGGTGCTTCATCGAACACTATGGCAAGCTGTACGCCTCCTTCCTCCTCTTAGCAACGGACAGCATTTTCATGGATTCCATGTAAAAGGTGTTTTGTGAAGGAGTAATGCACAATGGTGGCCTTGAATACAGGGTCTATGGTTGTTGTATAGATGTCAAATCCTCACTTTTGTCATTCAGGGTCACCAAGTAGCGCATTTATGGCTAATGGCATCTAAGAGAAAGAAGCCTGGCTATACATTCCCTTGTTCTTTCCTCTTTTCCTACAGATTAGGAGATGAGCTTTTCAAAAACGCTGCCTTGGATACAGAGATAGAAGTCAAATGTTGAGGGCGACAGAGACAGTCTACTCTTTTGTCTGGGTCAGCATATGAGAAAACTAAGATTCTAGTTTGTTTGAAATGTGGACTCAGAGGGACTCTTTGTGACAACCCCTGACATGACACCCTTATTAATACAGGAATTAAGATGGAACAATTAGTCAAAGCAATTAAGAAATATCAAACACTTGAATAAAAAAGAAAAGTAATAGAGTTTTTGTTCTAAATCTTTCAAAGGACTCTGAATTTCTAAGTTTGTGTTTATTTGAAAGGAACACATTTGGGAGATTTCCCAAGATTATGGTTTGGCCAGTACACAGGTGACAAAAACTTCCTCATTCACTACATAGTTTAATGAAATGTGGGCCATCTTACCTGAGGATTTTTAAACACAGCATATTTTTCCTCTTTCTCCAAAAACAGTACTTTGTTTTCTGTGTCTCTTGTCCAGTCTGATAAGACTTCAACAACGTTTTCATGGTCTTCAAAAATTCTCTCTGATGAAATAAAAGATAATTGAAATGAGAGTCTATTATTGAGTTAAGTACAATGATTCACAAGGTTTCTAAAGACTGGCAGCTCTTACTTAGCAGGGTCTGGATATATTCAGCCAAGGGCACTTGATCTGAAAAACAGGTGACTATCTGAACTTGGGGGAGGCTGGTACTATGTTACTGACCCATAAAAGGTCACTGGGCTCCCCCGCTCAGCTTCTTCTCTCCCTTCTTGCATGGCACACCTCCAGGCCCATGTTTATCTTGTCTCTAGTAAACTATCTCCTTTCCTGAACTTGCCATTGTCTCTGTGCCCCTGTAAAGAGGCAGGAGAACTAGAGAGGTTCAGTGCCTGCCCTGGGAACTAACATCCCTGACTGCCACAATAATGCAAAGATCCTGCTATTTTTATATGTCATTGTCAGGTTTTGGATTTATTTTATACAGAAACATCATAAATGGCAGAAATCATAACAGTTTGGGCAATACTTGACATGCTTTTTTAGTGTTAGCATTTTGCTTTGCATTTTAAATCATTCTTACCAGAGGTAAATACAGTCATTGTGGGAGTTACTAATGAGCATCTATTCCTTAAACATTTTGAACAAAACTGTGAAGCTCATAAGTTATTGTTCTAACATTCTCAAGTTAATAGATGAATATCTGAACCAAGCTTGAAAGTTACAGAAGCTTTTCTTTCCCTCGTTTTTCTGATTCATGGGATTGAAGAACACTTCAAGACTTCTGCACTGTTTTGTGTTAGTTTTGAGATAAGGTCCCTCTGTGCAGCCCAGACCGGCCTGGGACTCATCCTCCTCCTGCCTCAGCCTCTCCAAGGGTGGGATTACAAGAATGTGCCACCATGCCTGGTTAAGGGACTGTTTTCTACAGAAAAAATAAATTGCCCTAAAGTTTCAAAAGCAGGTAATTCTGGGTTTCATACAACCGTCTTGGGAGTCAGTGTGCCTTGAGATTGAATGGATGAATGGGAAGGAACAGAGAATTTATTAAACTGCTGAAAGGAAAAGGAGGGAGGGAGAGAGGAAGACAGACAGAGAGACTATCAATTTATTTCACTGCACTTTGACCCCTGGGGCTGAGCCTCTTTCACCAGCAAAGTGTTAGTGATCAGTCAAGTTTGAAGGAAGGAAGGGGAAGTAGATGTAAGATCTGGCAGCCACATTATGCCTCCAGGAAGCAATCTTTAAAGGGATATTAGCTGATAGATCGGATCTCCTGAAATCTGTTGAGCATCCTAAGCATGTAGCAAGATGAACCATATTGCCCCTTTTCTTCCCCCTTTAGAGTCACTAGCAAGGTGACAGTAATAAAGTTCATATCACCCAAAGACTGGCTACCCTCTACCAACTGAGTGTCTGCTACAAGGAAGCCATGAAACAAACACTCATCTCAGATGAGGGCAGTGACATGTGTCATGTCTTGAGATCTTGAAACAAATGTGTAAAACAGACTAAAGCCCACAATAAAACAAAAGCCAGGCTTTTGAAGTACAACCTGCATGTGATAAAGAGACTTACCGATTTGCAATTCGGGATATATTTCATAAAGGCACCAGTCCACATTGCAGTCACAATGGGTTTTTTCAAAAAGATTGTCCAGAACATCCCGAGCCAACTGTCGCTCATCCACCATCAGTGACTTGGTGCTATTATCGTCCATATGCACCTTAACCACAAGCTGAGGATGAAAGCCACAGAACTGTTAATCAGGCTGCTAAGCTGAAGGTGTCAACATTGCTGTTATTTTTACTACTGTACATTGGTAATGCAACCTGTGATATCTTGCTAGACTGTTGTTACAGTAGCTCACAGGCTTCACAGTTTGGTAAGGCTGCACATGACTTTTCTCAACCAGCAGTAGTGGCATGATTATTATGGGGATGTAACCAACCACTTTCTGATTGGATTTAAAGCCTGCTCTATAAGACAGAACTCAAGCCTGGTACTACAAACTGGCCCAAGAACCCAAGACTGAGGGGATCGTGGGCCCCAGAGGAGAACCTAATATTATTATTTTACTAAATGGATGTAGCATCAAACTGCATTTTAAACACTTAATATTTTTATACATAGATTAATGTAGCTTTTGATTCTCATGAGGGTGTCATGACTCAGTTGGTCAAAGTACATAGAATAAGTGGAGTGCTTAGCACTAAATGGGGCATCTATACCACGCCCCTCCCTGGAAGGCTTAGAGAAGAGCAGGTGAAAAAGTTGTGGAAGCCAAATGTTGGTGAGGACTACTGTAAAGCTGCCTTCTGGACATGACAGGATTTCTGCACTCACAAACTCACAGTGGTGGCACTTGCTTGCACAAAATTTGTTCAGGATCAGTACAGTCAAAATTGCAGCATGGGAGAGGTATTCATGAAGCCCCTCCCTTACCTAAGAAGCTATTATCAGTCGACGGCACTTGGAAGAGGAAGAGCCAGTTTTCTCCAGGGCTGTGATCCCTGGTAGGCTGCCCACTCTCCAGTGGATAAGCCTATTCATATGTGCACACTGGCAACACTGACTGGATTCAGGGAGTTGAGAAAACAGGATACGAAGCTGGGATGGGATACGGTAGGGAGTCTTGAAAGAGCTGGAGATGGGATTGTGGGGGGGGCGGTGAATATGGTCAAAATACATTGCATACATGTCTGAAATTCTCAGAGAGCAAACACCATATTTTAAAAGTGGAATGCATCCCCTGACCTCATTGTGAACTCCTATATGGATTAGAAACACAGTGGTGAAAAAACAAATTAAAAAACACAAAACGGACGATAAACAGGCCCTTGGCCCAGGTTCAAGCCACTGCATTCTGGTGGGGGAGACAGGGAACAAAGAGCACTGAAGAAGTGCCAACTTCTCGCTTTCCCAACATCCTTCCGTTTCTTGTTCCCATTTTGTTTTTAGGGCTAGCAGCATTTCTTGTTAAAAGATCTTTGTGACTGAAGTTCCTTTTAGGGTAAAAGCCTGGGTATGGCAGCCTCAATAAGCTAGACTTTGCCACTGTCCCCAGCATGCCATTAAAGGGGACTAACTAGTTAAAGCGAACAGCAGGAAGAGGAGATTTATTCAATAAGGTTACAGTGAGCCGAGGAAGAAATAAAGTGGTGCGGTGGCCTTTGAGTCATCGCTTAGGGTATTAGCAAGAGGTTTAAGGTTTGAATAGGGGGTGGATGATTTGCATAAACAGTCCCGGTTAAGACTTGTCATTGTTTTGACTCCTGTTTGACCTACAAGGTGGCCTCATAAAGTGTCCTAACTGTATGAAATCTCTTCCTGAGGAAAGTTCCTCCTCTATCTGTGTTCTTTTGAGACAGCCTAGAATGACCTGAGAAAAATAATATCAGTTTGGTATGTGGACATATCTGTAAGGGACTGTCTTGATTGTTAATTGATGCAGGTTGGCCCAGCCCACTGTTGAGGGCATCATTCCTTGGGGAAGTGGTTCCGGGATGTATAAAAATGCTAGCTAAGCATGAATGAACGTGTGAGTCAGCCAGCCAGCAGGCTAGCAAGTAGCATTCGTCCCATAGTTCCTGCCTCCAGGTTCTTGCCTTGAATTCCAATTTGACTTTCCTCAATGATATTCCCTGAACTGGAAGAACAAGTCAAATAAGCCCTTTTCTTCCCAAGCTTGCTTTTGGTCAGAGTTTTTTAAAATCACATCAACAGCATGAAACTAGAGCAGGCTGATGGCATCAGAGTTCAAGCCTTTTTTTGGCTCCCAGCATGGGGTTACTAGTGAAATTTGAATTCTTTGAGGTCCATTATTTCAACAGTCTGATGGCACAGGAAGGGGACAAGTGACTCTTTAGGTACCTCTTTGCCCCTGTCATGATGATTACACCCTCTTTAGCTTGGCTAGAGCTTTTTTTGTTTTTTTGCATTTTTCTGTGGGACACATATGTGTTCTTTGCTGAGAATTACTGCCACTGATGTCAGGACTTTGAAAGCAGTATTTCTGATAGAGAAAAATATTGACATTTGACCACATTTCATTCCTGCTTAGAGATGCTTTAGAAAGGAAAACATATGGTACCTTTTCCTTTCATTTTTATAGTGAGGAAGATATTGCTAAACCACATAGTTTCATAATGATGAAAGAGGCTGCCTTTTGGCAGAAATGGTAAACTAGGTTTAAACCATATGTGCTTATGAATATCCATAATTGTAAAGTTTAAAAAACATAGTGACTGAATAGGAGGAAATCATATTTGTGGTTCTTCACAGCTTCTACCACATTTGCAAGCTGCAGAGGGGTTTTGTACCAACGTGGAACAGCACCACATCACAGCAATGCTGTGTAATTCATCATATGATCTTCTCTGGAGCCAAATGATTCGGTAAGGAAATCTCATTTTCACTTGAAAATTGTTAAGTAGAAAATATTTTAGCCCTAAACCATGCAAATTACTTTTTGGGGCTTCTATAATAAGATTTACAAATGGAACTATTCTGTCAAAGAACTTTGGAATAAATTAAATTAACAAATAAGTTAAATTGTGTTTCCAGCATCAAAAGTTTGGTGGCATAAGGCATGTATATAATTTGTAATTCAAAATAATGTCAACATCCCACCATATCCTTAAGAGCAAATACTTCTGATGAGGGGTGGTGGTGTTTTTTTCTTTTATAATTTAAACGAGACAGGGTCTCTATCAGGCTGCCCTTGACCTTCTGACCTCCCACCTTCCTGCACTAACTCACGTTCATCCTTTAAAACATGTGTGAGACCCTCACTGTCATCTTCTTTAAACTTGGAGCGTTTCTATTATCTTATAAATGTGTTGTGTCACATACAGGTTGTTGTCTTAAAGAACACAGCCAGAGAGCCAGGAACCTTCTTTCCTTCCTCTGCATGTTCCTTGGGTCCAGGAAGATGGTTTGCTGTCACAATCCATGGGAACTAAAAGGGGCAAAGCTCTGTTGTTTTGGATAGGTGGCCCGGAAGAGCTGAAAGGCCCCTGTTCTCCGCAGGCTACCTGGAGCAAAGACACTGCGTCCACTCTTGTCCCACCTTCTGTAAGAGACACTTCTCTTTTTATCTCTTCTAGAAATACACAATGTGGCCCCCTCTTATAAACAATCCAGTGGTTGAAAGTATGTAGTTATGATTTCTTTTCTTACTCTTCCTCCCTCGGTCCCCTTTTCCCTCTCTTGAGGTGATGAGCATCAAGTCTAGGGCCTTGCACTTGTCAGGCAAACGTTCGCCACATGTTTGCTGCTGCTGAAGCCTTTGATGAAGAGCTGCCTTCTCAGAGAGGCTTCATTATCACCAGTGCATGTGAGGAGTGGCTTAGGCACTGTCTACCACCTCTTCTGGTTTCCAGCACATGTTTCTGTTGTTGTAAGGGCAACAACAACAACAACAACAACAACAACCATCGTTATTATTAGGTAAGGTCTTGCTGTGCAGTCCTAGCAGGGTCTAGATCCATGGTGTAGTCCAGGTTAGCCTTGAATTTGCAGTTCTCCTGCCTCCAGATCCTGAGTGCTGGGATAAGAAGCATGGGGTACCATGCTGAGCCTGGTTTAATTTGTTTCACTGCACTTGCCTCTTTTGCTAGAATTTAGCTTAACACAGAAAACAATCTCACCGGACCTGTTTACTATTGTACACATCTAGTACCTCCTCTAATACATGGGTGTGCTCCGTTAAAGAAGACAGTCTCCATTGGGATTCTATAGAGGCCCAGAAGGAATATAGGCAATAATTAGTGGATAGTAAGTACATTGGGTGGTGATAAAAACACTAAGGATAAAAGTAGAAAAGGTAAAAGAATTTTAGGGAATAGTGTGTACAGTGATGGGGACAATCTCACTCAGACGGTGACTGAATACTTAAGGGAGGAACAAAAAAAAAAAGGTCTGTTAAGAATCTGAGCAAGAGTGGGAAGGATGGATAGGTACAAAGGCACCACAGTAAGCAATTGAGGAATGTTCAAGGAGCAATTACAAGGACAGGTAGTTTCAGTGCAGTAAATGCAGAGAGGACGAGAGAGACAGAGACAGGGACAGAGAAACAGGGAGGAAGAGACAGAGAGACAGAGAGAGGAGAGAAGAGAGGAGAGAACTGAGGCTAAGGAGACAATGGCAGCCAAATCACATAGAGACAGAAAGGAGGCAAACCTTCACTGTACGAGATGAGCACCACAGAAGGCTCTTGGACTATGGAGACAAGAGCAGGGAAGGCGAACTGAACTGCACTTTGAGTGGAAAGGCTAATCTCAGACAACAGCATAGCAGTTCATCCTCATCACCTCAGTGGGCATGGTACATATGTTGTCATGGTTGTTAAATGTCTCTTACAGGCTCATGTATTTGAGCATTCATCTCTCTCTGCCTCCTGACAGCAGACACAATGTGACCAGTGGCCTTGCACTCCTGATACTTCAGCCCCTGATTGTCTTGCTTCCATGCCTTCCTGCTATAATGGACTGCATCCTCAAACTGAGAGCCAAAACCAGTCCTTCCTTTTTGAGATTGCTATTGCTGGGTATTCAATGCAGCAACAAGAAAAGTAACCAGTTGGTCATCTTAGGTGTTTGTCACAGTAAGGAAAAGCTGACATTTACATGACAAAATAAAAGAGAAACAAAACAAAATAACAACATCAAAACCACAAGGTGATTGCCATTTTCAAGGAATAGAACCAGTTCTTTCTGGAAAACATCTTCATATATGAGCCTTGAAAGTCTGGATCCGGGGACAGTCAAGGGACATTTACTAAATTAATCATCATGTATATAACTCCTTCAATCAAGAATTATAGCAGGTGGCATGGAAATATAAAGCATTAAGACCCCAAGTGACAAGGACAATTCACCTAAATATGTGAGAGATGACAGATGCTTCAGGAATTGAAATAAGATGTAGACTGAGTACTCTTTCCATTAACTAAATTAACTTACTACTGGAGCTTTCTTGTCCTGCCAGGTCCTGCAGCCGCCTTTCAGCCCCAAATAAACACACAGAGATGCTATATTAATTATTAAACTGTTGGCCTGTGGCTAGGGCTTCTTACTGGCTAGCTATCTCTTAATTATTAACACTTTTCTATTAATCTAAGTATTTCCACATGGTCTTACTTTACCAGAGAAGGGTCCGGACCTGTTACTCCTTCCTTGGCTACATGGTGTCTCCTCTCAGTCTCTTCTCTGCCTATCTTTCCCAGAATTCTCCTCGTCTCCTAGTCCTGCCTATCTTTCTGCATCTATTGGCCAAGCAGTATCTTATTCATCAGCCAATAAGAGAAACATATATACAGAAGAACATCCCCCATCACTAACTATTACTAACATTTTAATAGTGGGTGTAGTCTCCTAATCAGGTTAGATACAGGTTTTTCTATTATAACACAATAAGTATGCTCCTAAAAAACAAAACAAACAAACCCTATGCTTACAAAAAATGTTCAGAAAATTATAGACTAACTCATAAAGTAGGGTTAGAAGCAGGTCACGCAAAATTTACACAAATTAGAGACTAGATTAACAACAAAGCCAATATGTGATTCCAGGCAGACATCAGGTATTGAGGCTGCTCAAGGGATATAAATTCACAAAAGAAATTGTGTAAATGTGAGGCCAAGGGATGCTGAGGTCTGACCCAGTCAGTGTGCCCAGAGGGTGTGCCCCAGAGGGCATCCCTCAGGGAAGGGAGTCCAGGATGAACAGATTTTAGATTCTCAAAATGGAACTGAGAGAGCACTTGTCTAGGTGGTAGCAAAACCAAAGACCTTTTCCTTTCTTGTTAAAGGAAATTTGTACTCCCACTATCCTAGTTCATGTGAAACTATATGTGTAAAACAACGAAAAGTCATGTACAAGCTAAGAAAAATGCCTGCCCTGTTAGGCATTCTTGCTCCATCTCACCAAGGGGAGCTCTTTGCCATCATACTATCCTATAGAAAGCCTTTAAGAAACGGTTGAATGCAGGTTCCCTACCCAGAAATCACAAATTAGCTAAATGATGTTATACAGAGAAAAATAATGCCATTTCACTGTGTCCAGAGAATTCTTTAAAGATGGTAACTATTGAAAAGTGCCACTTTAGTTTTCTTTCCATGATACTGTTAAGCCAGGGTCTTGAGTATGGTAAGCAGGTGACTTACTACTGAGCTCCCCACAGACAGGTGAAAATTTTATTTTACTGTTTATCAGTAACTATAACATGATATTAATTTAATGCCCCCTATGTAAAAGTGATTGATGGCTTACCTTCTTGACCTTGGCTTCCTTCAGTTTTTCCAGTGCTAACTTAATTTTATTAGCTTTTGCTTGGGCTTCTTCTTCTTCCTGTGAAGGAGTAAAACAGTCAATAAGGTCTAATAAATAATACCAGTGGGTAATTCTTGTTAGTGCTAGTGTCTAGTTAATTTATAGTAACAAAATCATCAAATTTTACACCCTCCATTTCTAGAATATAAATAAATGCCTGTGATTAAATATTCAACTCAAAGTTGCAGAAAGAAACTATTGTTTATAGCCTCGGGAATTTCATCCTTGAAGATGAAATGATGACCTCAACAAGTGCATCATATACTTATTAGAGTATGCTATTCTGTGCTCAGCTCACAAAACAGGGTCCTGTGTTAGTTTGAACTATCAGTATCCCCGTAAACTCATGGACTTGAACTCTGGGTCCCTAGATGGTGGTGCTGTGTGGAGAAGAAATGGAACTATTAGGATGTGGAACCTTGCTGGAGGAAGTACATCAGTGTGGGTGGGCTTTGAGAGTTTACCACCTCTCCCCACTTATAGTTTGCCTTTTGCTTCTATCCTGTGAATAGAAATGTGATCGGTAAGCTTCCTGCTCTGGCAGCCTGCTGCTCTGTCTCCCCTGATAAAATGAACTGTTCCCTAAGCTAAGGTAAATGCTTCCTCTCTTAAGTTGCTTTGATTGTCATATTTTAACACAGCAACAGAAAAGGCACCGATACAGGGACCATCCTACAGAATCTAGTAATGCATTTGGCCTAAGGTGAGTTGAGCACTTCGTCAGGTCATACACATCCTCTTGGATCATGGTATCTATTTAGGGGGGCATTCATAGCTTTTATTAGAAACTTGAAAAGATCCTTAACATCCAACTTAATACTAGAGCCAAAACTTAACCTTATAAATCACAAAACCTCCAAAGCAAAGGAAAACAAACAAAACACCCCACTGATGAACACACATGAACAATAGCAAAGAGTGTGAAATAGTCTTGTAAGATCAACTTCCTTTGATGACATACAATGCTGAGAATAGAACTATTAAGGTGTTCTATTTATTTATTTATTTATTTATTATAATTAGGAAATGAAGTGCTCTGCTTACATCCCTATTGTTTGATAGAATCATCTCTTCTCATACCAATGGCTCTTGAAATGTTTTTGAGTGCCAAGATGCTTTAAGGACACGTGAAAGTGTGGAGTTTTATAAGTCTCTACCTATGTGTTTGACGTTGTATTTACTTTTAAGGCATCTATGATACCCCTGAAGCCTTGAGGAATCTATTGTTATGAGCCTCTGCTCTGTCTTAGTCACCAGTTTTAAAATGATTTATCTAGAATAAACATGGTGAGGCAATGAGTGTGATAGAGTGTGGCTTAACATTTGATTTCTGTTTAAAGTTGTAGGAATTCTGAGGGCCACGAGGGTCATGTGAATCACTCAGTACAAACAATATGGAAGCTACAGCACCCAGAGCTGTGTTTTCACTTGGAAATATTTTAAGGGACCCACTTAAGAAAAATTCTTCAAAGTGTTATCTCTACTTTTTTTTTTTTTGAGGAACATGTTGTAATTAACTTGCCAAATAAGGACAATGTAAACTTTGCAGTTATTTTACAAAATTCAGAAATTTATAACTATCAAGCATTCATTACCTGTCTTTACAATACCCTCCCCATTGAAGACATTCCAAGGACACATAGTCTTTGTCCTATTGAATAATGTTGCCAGAGGCAACAGTTCAATTTAACTCAACTGAAAACCTGTTCTTTTCTATATTTTGGGATAGGAACAGGGATAATGAAACATATAAATTAGTTTTTTAATCCATGAAAAATTAATAAGGCACGCCTTTAATCCCACCACTCGGGAGGCAGAGGCAGGCGGATCTCTGTGAGTTCGAGGCCAGTCTGGTCTACAGAATGAGTTCTCCAAAACAATACAGAGAAACCCTGTCTCAAAAAACAAACAAAAATTTTAATAAAACATATTCTCCAAAGTGTGAGTATTATTAATGAATATGCACATGAAAATATTACTTTTAGTCAAATTATGATAAATATTAAATTTGGTCGTAATGTGTTCTTAGCTTACATCTATTATAATTTAAATGTCCTTACCAAAACTGATGTTGAAGTTTAATTTCCATTGTAAAGGATTGAAAGGTAAGACAAAGTGGTATTTTTATAAAGTAAGTGGGTCATGAGCAGAAAGCCAGAACCACACTATAATACTCCCAACCTCTGGACCTAAATTAGCCTTTATTTTTTTCTGCATTACCCATCTGTGGTATTCAGTTATAACAATAGAAAACAATGAGACAACATTATTCGTGGAAGGCTCTCTGGATTTGCAAGAAGCACACACTATCCTTTTTCATAGTACTTCAGAGGTCTAGGCACACAAACTTGTGGATGTAATTATCACTTCAAAGAAAGTCCAAGGTGATGGGCAGTAAATGACAATGGTTCTGCCTTCTTGGATCCTACATACTTTGTTGTGGGATATTTGTATACTGTATGAAGATGTATTACTGTGATTGGTGTAATAAAAACCTGAATGTTCAATAGCTAGGCAGGAGGTATAGGCTGGACTTCTGGGCAGAGAGAGACTCAGGGAAGAAATGCAGAGTTGCCCACTAGATGCAGAGGGGGCAGGATGGGCAATACAGAGATGAGGTAACACTTCGGGCAGAGTGTAGATTAATATAAATGGGTTAATTTTTTATAAGAGCTAGCTGAGAACAAGCCTAAGCTAAAGCCAAGCTTTCATAATTAACAAGTCTCCATGTAGTTATTTGGGAGCTGGCAGTAGAGAGAAAGATTCATTACAATACTTACTTTAGAGAGAGGTTCAGGAGGCGGTGGAGGCGGTGGAGGCAGTGGAAGGTCTAACATGGGTTCTGCTGGTGGAGGTGGCAAAGCATCTTCATAGTGGCTAATACCAGCTGCAGCAGCACTTGCTCCATAACCAAGTGAGGCTGCACCCCGGCCATCTGATGCCCCCTGAAGTACTGAGTGGTGCTGATTCTGAGAGGACTCTTTCTGAGCCTGGATGGTTCTCTGCTCAGCCTCACTTATATCTGCTACCAAATCTGCCATGAGGGCGTCTAGATCTTGGTCTTCCAGGGCATTTAAGGACTCTTAAGAGGAAAAAAAGAAAAAAACCTAACTATTTGCATCCAGATAAAATAGAAAGCAGTTGTTTTTTAAAGAATAATATACACATAGGTGGGAATCATTATTTAACTTGTTATGATACAATAAGAAAAATATTTTTATCCAGTAGCAACACCCACATATTGGGACTCCTGAAATAATTACATTCAGTGCTTAATGTGAGTAAGTTTCTAACAGGAAGAAGAGGGAAAACTTGTGCTCTCCACGGGGGTGTCTCACACTCCAGCCACAAAGTCAGGTTTGAGCACACAGTAGATGCCTACACAGGAAACTCCTGAGTATTTTGGTGCAAGAGCCTCTAACTTCAGGACAGTAGAGGAGGAGGAAAGTGGAAATGAATGGAAAGGGGGTTCTCCCTAAGAATTTGGAAGGGAGAGCACTGGTGATCAGGTGGGTTTCATCTACCTTTAGGGAGTACAGATAAACATCTATCCCATCTATCTGACCTCAGGGAACCTTACATCATAAGTGCAGGATTAATTCAGCCAAGGTGTTAAAGAGTAAAGCCAACGAGACTAAGTAGTAAAGGTTTTTATGAAGACAGTGGGCTGGGTGAGCTTTTTATAAGAAAGAATGAACAAGGTTTTTAGGGACATGGGGGAAGGAAGAGCGTTCATTAGGACTTTGTCCAAGTATGAGATTGCTGTAGAGGCCACATTCATGCTCAGCAAGTTGACTAGACTGCCTGGAACAGAGGGAGTGGTGTCGGGGACAGAATCAGGCAGTCACCACATGATGATTCGGTGAAGAAGGGATGAATCCTGTGCAGGATGGCCCAAAATGAGGAAACGGGAGTGTCAGAAAACAAACTTAACTTTGTAAAAAAACAGAGAGCACTGTAAGCCAGCTCATTGCCAGACATCATCAGTGCCATGCAGCACTGTTGTTCATTAATATCAATATGCCAGAGAATCAAAATTTCTTCATATAGCTTAAATGTGTTACTACAGATAAATTCTATTAATCAGTTACAACATTAGATAGTGAGGAATAGAGAATGAGAAATGGATTCTATTTTTAAGTCTGTCATTCTGGGAATGACTTTGATATATATTTATACATATATATGTGTGTATGTATGCATGTGTGTATGTATGTATGTATATATGTATTGCTTCTCGGTCTTTTGGCTAAGATCAAGTGTAATATATATATTTGACAGGGTTTTTCTGTGTAGTTTTGGAATGTGTTCTGGCACTTGCTCTGTAGCTCAGGCTGGCCTCGAATTCACAGAGATCTGTCTGCCCCTACCTCCTGAGTGCTGGGACTAAAGGTGTGTGCCACTACAGTCCACTGAGCAAAATATTTTTAAATCATTTTAATAACATTTTAACTGAGGGCAATAAAATGAATTCTCAGCAAATTTAAAATCACACATCAGGAATTTGGTGGCTTTGTCCTCTTCCAAAGTCAGCCCATACACCAGCATCTTGTCTCCCTGTTGCTGCACCCTAACATGACTATGCTTAGAGATTTATGGGTTTCATTGACTCTGTCATCTTTGGTATTTCTTTTTGATACTAGGCACTAAGTGTTTAGAAAACACAGAGTTGACTAACAGCAATGGAAACACTGACTAAACTTAAATTTTAGTGGAACTGATGATAAAATGCTCATTTGTAGCACTTCCAGAGGCAGAAGCAGGCAGATCTCTGAGAGTTCAAGGCCACCATGATCTACATAGAAAGTTCTAGGCCAGCCAGGACTACATAGTGAAACCCTGTCAACAAAACAAATAAAACTAGAAAACTGCCCAAACAAAACACCCATTGCATGTGTGCAAGAATCTTAAGCATGGCTGTCAGAATTCCACAAAAGTGGGCTGCTTTTTGGAAACTTCCTGAACGCTGTTAATCTTGGTGGACATTGCTGGCATAAAAAATTTTGTGGTGAATAGAAGGGTGAAGTAAAAAGAGAACACTAGAAAGAGGTGCATTACAATTGACCAAGTAGTGATCACTGGTGCCTACAGGCTTATCAAGGAAACAGTGCAAGGGACAGAAGCAATGAAGTTAAGTGAGACGTGGAAACAGAAACCAGATCTTTAGGTTCCGTACAGGGTTTCTTTGCTACTTCCATGAGGTTGGGTTATGTATAGGGCTTCTTTGCTACTTTGGCTTTTATACTGTTATAGCCACTGAAAGTCTTTAGCTATTCTTTTTCAAGAGTTCCAGTGAGGCCGCCCTTGTGATGCATTGGTAGCATGTCTGACTACAAGACTTCCAGTGAATTCTTACAAAGTTGGAAATTATTATTTCAAGACTTATTATCATTTCAACAACATTAGATCTAACAGTTCTCTCTGCAAAAAATGGAAAAGAGGATCCTGTTATAAAGCAAAACTTTGATCTCAGAGAGATTGAAAGTTTCAAACAGTAAATGATATATATGTTAAAATACCATATTTAGAATAAAACATATTTTGAATCAGTTCCCATTCATGTATTATCCATTGTTAATAAATACTTAACGGTTATCCTTGAAAAGACATTTTCTTACTCACATTTTCTTGACTCCTTAGTAATAAGAAGAAACTTTGGTTTCCTATTCAAAAGGTGAGGTTGTCCTGAGACTTTTCATAAATGGAAGATGATTTTCCCTTTCATCGTTATAAGCAAAAATATCTAATGGCCTTTCTTAATTAAGTGCAGACATAGTAAAATACTGCCCACAGTCCAGGGCTTGTACATTATTTACCGCAATGCCCACATTAGTTTCATGGTCAGAGTATAGTTCCGTGTAGATTTCTGTCATTATGGCTTCAAATTGCTTAAGAAAACAAGTTTCTGTGCTTACCATTTAAATCCTTAAATCCCACACTGTAGTTAAACTCTTCTCGGGGTGGCTTGGGTTCTGGAGGAGGGAGAGTGTCCACTCCTAAACTCTGTGAAAACAGATCCCACAGTTTCTGTGAGTGAGTCACAAAACCAACATTTCTGAAGCCCCAAACATTCGTTATTTATCCCTTTTTCTCTCCAAGTATTCTCTTAAAGATCACGTTCTTGCTTAAATGTTTTGTGAGTATTTTTTCTATTATAGGATATTTCAGCTTTAAAAACCCTGTAAGAAATGCTTTGAAACAGATTGTGTTAACTGAGAATAATGAGAATGAATAGTTGATTTTTATTTTTTCTTTTCTTTCTTTTTTTGGGGATCAGGGTTTCTCTGTGTAGTTCTGGCTGTCCTGGTTATCCTGGAACTCATTTTGTAGACCAGGCAGGCCTTGAACTCAGAGATTCTGCCTGCCTCTGCCGCCCAAGTGCTGGAATTAAAGAAGTACATCATTACCACCCAGCAAAACTAATTAATTTTTCTAAGCAACAGAGAGACTTTGCTGTGCAAGTGAAGGCACATACTATATATAATTTTATAAGGGCTTACATAGTGACATTAAAGAAAGGAATGTCCAGTTATCTGGAAAAGAAATTCTTCTGCAAAAAATTTTAATTATTTGTTTACTCCAAGGGAGTTAATGCCCTGACAGTTCCAATAAGTGGCTGATAAACAAGGCCCCCACCCTCAAGAGTGTAGATTTTTGATGCTATAATCTCATCACTTATCTTCTTGCCATGCAGAAATTAAAATGTTTCACATTTTACAAAGTATGTTTTGTATGCTCTGTGTGTTCTGTCTTGCTTAGATGTGACTTATATTTTAAGATTATAAGCACTTTTTCTCTGTTTTCTTTCCTTTTTTATGTTTAGATTTTTGATTCAAGGAACTCATCAAATTATAAGCGCATGAACTAGAGTTACAGCTCTTAACAGATGTGCTGCCCCAGCACCATACACTAAACTTTTTGGTTTTTATTTGGAAGGCCACCTTTGTCAGGATATATGGGAGATGGGTGGGGATATGTGGGAGATGGATGGGGAACATAAATAGAACAGTATGTTACTCATCCAGAAATTTGGGAGAAAAGTATATAGGGATTCTTCATATTATTGTTTCAACTTTTCTGTAAGCTTGAAATTTTTTTCAGTATTACAATCACATTACTGTATTTAAGTTCACTTTAATTTTTGCTTATTTTAGGAAACTTGGAATACCAAAGTTTATCCACCCTTTCTAATCATACACAGTGGGGTCAATCTACTCTTGGTTGAATGTTCTTCTTAGCTATGTAGCCTGTGGCTGAGTGACTTTCATGCTTCTTAGAGGGGACCAAGTTCTTACAGCTCATTCAGAAAGTCGTAATGGTCCTTTGAAATATAGCATTTCCTTAAAAGATGACACAAAAACATCTTACTCAGTGCCATTTTCTCAGTTAGTCTCTATGAAGGTTATTACTAGGGATGTTGCTCAGAGAGCAACATGGGAATTCCTCCCATCGTCACGATGAGCACAGACATTGAGATTAGCTGTGCATGTATGACTGTTATATTAAACCACGTGGACCGAGGATGCAGAACCAATAAGGGTTAAGAAGAGGGTTTTACCTGGGTCAAAAGATCCATCTCCCCCAGCAAAGTGCTGAACATCTGGTCTATGTCTTCATTTGATTCACCCATCTGAAAGAGGAAGAGACCCAGACATGAGTGATCTCTAAAAGCTTATCAGGGGATAACTGTTGCATTTTCATTCTTTCCTCTGTGATCAAACATCCATGAAAAGAACTATGTGGAGAAGAAGTCTCTGCTTACCCTGGAATTCCATGTCTGGCTGCCACCTGATTTGATGTTGGAGGATGAGCTAAATCGTGGGACCTGCTGCAGAGCAAAACCTGAGCTTGTGTTTTTTCAAACAAACTGCACATTGTTCTGGGAGTCACCTTGCCTAGGATTCTTTACTTGAAAGAGAGAACACCTCAAGCCATTCTTGATAGCTGCTTTTGACTGCCAACTTGTTTGGGTTGAGAAATACCAAGGAGATTGTCTGTGATGATGTTTCTAGGGATGAATGGATTAATTCCTTGAGTGATTTATAGTAAGGTAACACTTTTGTTCATAGTGAAGAAATTGGACTCAAGTTTCTGAAAGCATGAGTCAAAATAATATTTTCCCTCCTTTTGAATTTGTTTTTATCACATATTTGGTCACAGCAATGAGATGGCTACTAAGATGTGTTGCTATCATGTCAGAGGAATGTAGAATTTACCTCTATTTAACACGCTAAAATATTATGGTATTTTAAAATGTCTGTGATTAATTGAATTTACTGAATGCTCCCCTGCTTCATAAAGATATCTGTGAAATAGCAACAGCTTTGGGCACATTTATTTGGCAAGGCTGGATTGGGAAATAAAGAGATAAGAATACTCATCTTTCAAGAGCTGCTTGGCAGTGTGTAATGTGGCAAAGGGAATGAAATGTGTTAAATGTAAATGAAAGATTCACCCAAGATCATTTCCAAGAGTTCTAAAAACTGCTAAGACACTACGAGACTAATGTCAATTGCAGCAGCAATAGTCTGGTGAGGGTAGAGTATCTTTGTATGTTGCAGTCAGATCTGTGAATCCATTATTGTTCCACTAGGCAGAAATACTTGAAAAAATTCTGCATTGAACATGTCAACACTTTTTCTTGATAACATTCACTTACAACAACTATAGCCATACTATAGTTATAAAATAATGTAATATAGTTATAAAATAACTCATGATTATTTTGTCAAGGGCAGACTGCATTAACCACTATGGTCCCAATATCATATTGCTTGGTGGTGGTGCAGCCATGTTAGTTTGTGTGGTCTTCTCTATGAGCTCACGACAGCGAACAAGTCTAAACATGCATTGCACGCTTATCTCCATTGCTGACTGACAGGTGTCTATAGTTAAATGGTATTATAAGTGACCTAGAGATAACTGCGAACACAGAGGGATGTGTATATGTTACATGAAAATAAAAGGACTTGAGTACTCTTGGATTTGGGAATCCGTAGAGTTGCCTGGCACCAACCTCTGCAGGTGTTGAAGGATAGCTATATTTCAGCCATCAATATTTACTTGACCATGGATACATAAGTGCTTTTGTTTTCATATGGACACACACATATATGCAGAAAAATGATGTTATGGAAGTACACAAGGATTGCTGTGTGCTTAATATTTGACTTTCACAATGATCAATATGACTTACCTTTTTAATGTAAATATATATATCTTTATTTTCCTTCAACTGATTTTTTTAAAGAAATATTTTTGCACACATACTTTAATATGCAGATCAGGTCTAAAAGAGTAAGATTTTTGAATGCTTTCGTAGCATATATGAAGTATGCATAATACTAGGTCTCATTATAATATTTTCATATATGTCCTCCTCACTGCTGTGTTTTGATCATATCCATCCCTCCATTACCCTCTCAAGGTCCCCCTACTCCTGCTAATCAATTTTCTCTTCCTAAATATCCCCCTTTCTACTTCTCTCTCTCTCTCTCTCTCTCTCTCTCTCTCTCTCTCTCTCTCTCTCTCTCTCTCTGTGTGTGTGTGTGTGTGTGTGTGTGTGTGTGTGTGTGTGTATGTATGTGTGTATAGCCCAATGAGTTTCATTAGTGTTGTTTATATGGACATGGATACTTTACCAGTAGCTACGCCACTGAAGAAAATTTCCCTTCTCCTCAATTACTAACTGTATAAGTCCCTATGGAAGAGTGGGTCCCTCCCACTTCTACTACAAGGTATTGATAGGTACGATTTTGTCCAGTTCTAGTGCAGTTAATCATAGTTGCTGTGAGTTCAAGAGTGCATCAGCCGTGAAATGCTTGGAGGTCAGTGCTCCTACTGATCCCCACACTTTCAGCTCTTCCATTCTTTCTGCCGCTTGCTCCACTAGACCCTGAGTTGTGGAAAGGGTGATATAGATGTCTCATTTATGGCTGGCCATTCAACAGACATTTATCCTTGGTATCTTGACTTGTGAGTCTTCAGACTGCTGACCACCGCATTAAGAAACATATCTAACCAAAGTTGACAGCAACATTAATTTATGGGAATAAATATGGCTACTTTGAAGGCAATTTGATGGGCATATCCTATTCATTTGGCAAAACAATCACAGAAGGACCTATTACTTTCCCAACCATTATTTTTTGCTCAGATTTATGGTAGCAGATGTAAATTCCCTCCTGTGGAGCAGGCATCAAATCCATTCAGAAAGCAGTTGTGTGGTGGTTTTAATGAGAATGGTCCCTGTGCTTCATATGTTTGAATGCTTGCCCCAGTTGGTAGAAATGTTTGGGAAGGATTAATAGCAAAACTACTCTACTACTCTAGTTAGTATGTTCTCCCTCGCTCCCTCCCTCCCTCCCTCCCTCCCTCCCTCCCTCCCTCCCTCCCTCCCTCCCTCCCTCCCTCCCTGCCTCCCTCCCTCTGTCCCTCCCTCGCTTCCTCCCTTCCTCCCTCCTTCCCTCCCTCCCTCCCTCCCTCCTTCCCTGCCTCCCTCCCTCTGTCCCTCCCTCGCTTCCTCCCTTCCTCCCTCCTTCCCTCCCTCCCTCCCTCCCTCCTTCCCTGCCTCCCTCCCTCTGTCCCTCCCTCGCTTCCTCCCTTCCTCCCTCCTTCCCTCCCTCCCTCCCTCCCTCCTTCCCTGCCTCCCTCCCTCCCTCCCTCCCTCTGTCCCTCCCTCTCTCCCTCCCTCCCTCCCTCCCTCCCTCTGACTAGTGGTTGTTGTCTCAACATGCAAGTTGTCGGCTACTGCTCCAGTGCTATGCCTGTCTGTTGCCATGCTTCCTGCCATGATGACCATAGACTCATCCTCTGAAACTGTATGCAAACCCCAATTAAGTTGTAAGTTGCCTTGGCTATGGTGTTTCTTCACAGCAATAGAAAAGTAACAAAGACAGTTGGCTGCCCCATAGCAGACTTGCCATTACTGTGCCAGTCAATGTATCTTGCATGGCCAGGCAGTATGATTGCACACAGGGTCCACAGCTGAGCAGGATCATTTATGATCATCCTCCCTGTGTGATGCTTCGGGTACCGTGACAATTAACCAGCAGGTAGGATGTTTCTAGCCAAGTTCTAGCTTGATTTCTCTATGTCCTGAGGCTGAGATATGTGGCATATTCAGCCTAAATAGGGTCTTAACATGAAGATTTGCTGGGCAACCAGGAGCAGTGGCAATTGCTTGTATTATTTTGGCTTCAGGAGCCTCCCTGACCTACAACTCTAAGGAAAGGAGTCCACCCCAACACTGGTATTTTTTGTTTAGTAATCTAGGGTTTCAGAAGTGGAGAAATGGCTTAGTAGTCAGAAGCACATACTGCTCTTAGAGAGAACCTGGGTTCAGTTCTAAGCACTCATATCTAGAAGCTTACAACTGCCTAACTCTGGCTCTGGAAGGCTTGATGGCTCTGACCTCCCTGGGCACCTGGACTCAGGTGACATATCACCTCCCACCACATACTTAAAAATAAAATAAATCTTTAAAAAATCCTGTGGCCTTTTGGAACAGCATTATCTACACACACAGTATACTTCCATTCAAACACTGCTAATTTTTTTAATTTCCTTGTGGTGATGTATTATTTATGATTTATTAAAGCTCGCCTGAGAATACAGAAAACAAAGCTAGCCACAAGTTATAGAGCCAGGCTGCCATACTAGTAAGCCATAGAACCAGTCGGTGGTGGCATATATCTTTAATCCCAGGACTCAAGAGACAAGCATATGAATCTGTTAGCTCAAGGCCACACCGAGCTACAAGAAACTGATCCAGTCCTAAAGAGAAACATCTCACACAAAGATGATCTCAGCACTTGGGATCACATGCCTTTAATTCCAGGAAAAAGCAAAGGGCATCACATGGAGATTTATTTTCCAGCCACACTGAGGAGAGGTCTTTCAGTATGATGTAGAGGTAAGAGCTAATGGCTGGCTACTTTGCTTCTCTGATCTTCAGCTTGAAGCTTGAACCCCAATATCTGTCTCTGTGTCTTTTATTATTCGTGTTACATTTCATTATGGCTTTCTCATACATAGTTGTTAGCATGCAGATCTAAAATAACAAGACTTTAAAAAGAATTTGAAGATACAATCTCACTTTGTATCCCTGGCTGTCTTAGAAATCATTATATAGACCAGGCTGGCATCAAACTCAGACAGATCTGCCTGCCTTTCCTCCAGAGTGTTGGGATTAAAGATATACACCACCGTGCCCAGCAATAGTAAGATTCTTACAACCACAATCATAACCCTATTATCTACAATTTGCTTAATAATAAATCATTTCCTGAAATAGGCTAAGCCAAAGCAGATCAATTTATTGTGAAAATTTACAGTTTACCTTTTAAATGACATCAACACAATATTTAATTAGTAACATGTTTGCTTTTCTTGACTTCATTCCATTTATGTCTCTTTATAATAATAACAAATAACACTTCTATTCTACTGATTGCTTTCTTATAAAGGACTCAAGTGGATTTTAAAAGACACCCTAGTCTATGAAAGAAAAATGATGAACTGATGACTGTAACATAACGTGTACCTAGCATTATACGAAAATCCTTCTTTAAGCCAATGTTGGCCTCCTGGGCCAGGATTAAAAGATACAACAATACAAACACTTTTTTT